AGCAATTCCATATTCTTCTATGCAAATAAACTTCAATAGTAATTTCTCTGAATACGCACAACACTCTTATTATTTTTTAAAAATGAAATATGTATTGCATATAATTGTCAGTGGTCATTGCGCATCAGTGTTTTAGTAGTACGATAAATGCTCATCAACCACAACTCACGTGGTCCAGAGTTCGATCCATATCTGACGAACTCCTAGAACCTCGCATGAGCGGTAATTAAACCACGGCAAGGAGGGAAGATTGGGCGTGAGACTATCAATCCCACCCTGTAAAACAAGAACAACACAGCTAGTACTGAAAAACGTTATAGCTCAAAGCCTTACGTTCCACTCGGAACGCAAATGACTGAAGAAAATAAATAAATAAATAGAAGTAGCAGCAATGAAGTCCATTTATGGTGTTAAAAAAGGAACTGATTTCGTTATATTTTCGTGGTGTACAGCAGTTAGGTAGAGAAGGTAGCAGAAGCTTATGTAAGACAATAGAAAAAAACAGCAAATAAAATGACTGTATGAAGAAAAACGTCTACAGTCCTATCAGAAAAGCGATTTCATTGTATCATATTTGTTGCCAAGGTCTCTTTTGCAACCTTGTAGCCTTAATATAATGTGCATTGGTGGCACAGAGGTTGGGACGCTCGCCGATCATGCACATTGTTCGGGGTTCGATCCCATGCCGGCGCACACCCGATATCAATAGTCGGCCTGAAAAATTTGGGCTACCGATATCACATGCTGAAAACTCCATACCTGTACCAAAAATACTGTGTGGTTTCAAGCTATAATTAAAAAAATAGGCCTGCTAAAGAGTAACTATCAAAAACCTGGTTTATCCCCTTGAAAATAACTAGCCAAAATCTTCGAAATATAATATTTTCTGTAACTTCGTAGGTGATATTATAACTGAGGAATTTCAAACTTAGCGACAGCATTCTTAGTATCAAAGTTCATATCAATGTATCTCCTTGTTTAAACAGAACTTTAAAGATAAGACTTCACATTTGGAAAATTTTATCGGTGTGCACTAATTCACCTGCTTCAGTATGACTAGGTATATCAACAGATAGATCAGAGCAGATCCCTTGTCCAAAAGACTTGAAGAATACGAATGTGAGCGGCTACAGAGAGGTAGGTGACAGACAGTGAATCAACAATCTTATAGCAGTAATGTAGTTGCAATGACATTTGTGCCTCATTTATTTGGTAAGATTTGGATAGTTCTCTGGCTGGGACCAGTTCTTGCTGAAAACTGACTTCATAATTTGCTTATAACTTTACATATGAAATTGTAATAAGATATTCACTGAAGCCTTTAACCTGATCAAACTTGAAGGCTGAATTCATTCCTTTTGAAAAACTCTAAGGCCTATATAAGCGACAAACATCACTGGTCAAATCGATACTAGCCGATCGTATTGTTGAAGATAAAAACGCGAACCATTTCGTCATCTCAGTTTAACGACTTTGAAAGACCCAGTGATACACATTCAGAGACTGACTGACTGACTGGTTTGAATATAGAACTTTGCACAGATGTGTGGCAGTTCGAGTTGCCACACTCTCTCATTGTAGCACATAAAGCAAGACAGGAGATTCAAAACAGATTTGAAAGAAAGATAATAAACAGAGATATGAGGCGAAAAGAATAGTAATATGGGAGAACAATATAATTTTATCGGATATTATAAATCACAAGGAGTGAACGCATCGGAACCATTGACAACGAGGATTTCGAGCCATATCACCAACTGTCTCCAGCCTTCATTGATTTTTACCATCCCGAGGACCCCAACCAGTCAGGAGATCTACACCTCCCTACGTGGATTTCATTGACTGATGAGGCCATATTTCAGTTTGACCACTACTAGTTGTCTTACAACTTGATCCTATTTCAGCTAACTTTTCCCACAGAGGAAAGCAATGGCTAGGCCTGCGTAACACATGTCCCAACTAACTCATTCGATTTAAATTCACAACCTCGCCGATTGATTTTCCCTCCTCACTTAACACACTCGACCGATGCCTAACCTCAATATTGTTCACCTTATTATACCACTTAACACAGGAGATGCAAAGAAAACTTTTAGAAGTGAATTTATTTAATGCATATTACATAATCTTAAACTGTATAAAGCCATATACAATAGAGTTTCAAGAAAACATGTTTAAGAAATCAGAACTAAGGTTCTAAATCATTGTATGCATAAGCTATCACAATCTCCAAACGTAATTCTTGTCAAAGACACAGCTTTTTATTTCCTGAGGTACTTATCTATAAAACTATGTCACTTAGCATATAGAGCGGTACAAAAAGGAATCTATGACAACCTGACATCTTAGTGGACAATCACCATGAAGAGTTTTCACAAATTTACCCTCTACTGAAAGCAACTGTTTCAGATGATTATTTCTCACAAATTATCTCCCTTTTGCATAATTTGAATTCAACAGGGCCTGTAAGTCAAGAATGCTAACGATGTGTAGCTTGACGCTAGTGTTTCTTTTTTGAACTCAAGTTTAAGGACAAATAAATGCTGTCGACAACTTCTTCCTCAGGTGCTCTACATTTATATGAATCCATGAATACTTACTTACTTTACTTCGGCTATCTCCTACGGAAGGATGAGCCGGCTTCATGAACATCTCGAATCAAGAGAGTTCATGAGGTTTCATGGGAATTTGGTACGAGTGATGTCCCCAGAACCACTCGGCCTTTTGTTTGAGAGTGCAGCTCTAGCCTTTACACAACCAAGTGTGACCTACAAGGCAGTAGGAGTGGAGTAGGGAGTCCACTATCCATTGGCAGCCGGTGACCAGAGTTCGGTTCATACGCCTTTTTGAATGGGGCCAGACATCCAGGACATCCAACAAGCCCTTTCTCCATACGTCTGCCGGTGAGCTCCAGTGAGCTTCATACGCCAGTCGTTGGAGGTTTGGATTCAGGGTTTAGCCATCTCCCCTAGACTGTCATCCAATGGACAGTCAACCCGGTGAAGAGCGCCGGACATCCGCTTTCGCCCTCTCACTTTGGTGAAAAACACCTCCGCCACGTGAAGGCAGTGAGTAGGACTTCCTCAGGAGAGGCTATGTAAGACGCCCGGTCATATGGGAGCATTTCAAGAGGTGTGCGGAGGGGTGGCCAACCCGCAGCGCAAGGCACCCACCCCCGACCATCCTGAATAGCAGAATAAAAAATAAACAGTAAGGCCAAATGAAAACTTTATCAGAAACTGTAATTTACACTAAGCTTATCATGTGATGACATTAGATAGTTGGAGGCAATCGGCAGGAAGCCCTACGTGACCTAGGTTTCGTGCTAGTTGGCACTCATCAGCAAGGTGTATCTGCAACCTTGGAGGAACTCATGTCCCTTCTGAGATTCGAACCTGCGTCACCCAGTGCTGCAGTCAGAGCTATTCGGGCTCACGATTGACCTCCTGTAGGACTGTAGTGGGTCACATTGTGGCCACATTGCAAAACCTGACTGATAGAATTCAGTCTGCACCAAAGAAAGGACCAGACACGTCACACTAGTTACTAGTGTCCAATCAAAAGCTTATCATGTCTCCAGTATTTTAATGTAGTTCATAATTTAACCTCTTTATTTTATCATTAAACTTGTTAACTATCACTCCATGGACTTACATTCAGTGTTTTTGGTGTATTTTGGTGGTAATCAATTTTCTCTCACACCACTGAACATAACTCACTAGCCCCTCAAATGAAACTTATATTGTGTTCACTATAAATACATTACTATGTCAGCCAGTTGTCTATTCACATTTTATCTTATTTTGATTGACTGTACATTTTTATATGCATTTGATTGACAATGTTAACTATTGACGGACTATCATTCCATTTTTATACAAGTGCTCTAATACACACAGTTTCTGATGCAATTTTCATTCAGCCTTCCTGGTTATTTGTATTCAAATATTATTCGTGGATTTATATGACTGTAGAGCACCTGAGGAAGAAGTCATCGAAAAAAATTGTTCACTTAAAAATCATTCTCTTCTGATCACACACACACTATGGGGATTTTTAATTTTCAAGTATTGGTTTTGTAGGGATTTTCTGTTTTATTGGCTGGAGGACTTCATCATGAGCTGACATCAGTTAGAGAACCATTGGAAAACCTGGAAGTACTGGACAGCTGTTTCATCCTAGTTTTGGACCCATCATCAGTGCGCACCCAACAGGGTTCGAAAAGCAGGTTGAAGATGAGGACAGTTACTCTTCGAAGAGGACATTGCTATGCCATGAATTGGCAGAAGTTAGAATTTGTGAGCTGGCCATTGAATTGGGTCCCAGTTGCTTAATGGTCTACGAGCTCGCTAGCCTTGCAACCTGAAGGTCCTGGGTTAAAACCCCGGTGGGTGCCTACTGATGAAGGGTCCCACACTAGGACGAAACAGCTGTCCAGTACTCCCAGATGTTTAATTTACAAATAAATGTAAGTGAACTCTGAGGAAGGTAGTGTTTATTGACAGTGAATACATTTCTGACAAGACTATTTGCTATGCTCCCAGAAGGATTGACTATTAGAGGAATTCCACCCTAAAGGGAGTCAGATACGGGGTGATCTACAACACAATTGTAGCGTTTTATTATTTATTTTATTCCTGCGCATTCCCACTGGAATATACAGCTTCAAGCTACAGCTTTAAAGTTTCAGTAGCAGTGGCTGTTTTTACCAGATGAGGTCGATAGTCAAAGGCTCAACCTTCCCTGTTTACCGGACTTATTACCAGGAGTGCGTCGATCGGGTATCGAACTTCGGACCACTTGATTAATTGACCAGTACTCAACCAATGGAGCACCAACGTTACAGTTCTGTAGTAGGAATGAAATATTTAATTTTCGCTTAACAACTACAAACGACTGGTGTAACTTCACAGAGAATATACCTGGGAGTGAGAATAAAACAAACTTTATAATTCTATAAAAAATATAAATTACTTTTAAAAAAACAATTATGAATTTACCGAAACATGATCAATATGATCCAATAGCATATAAATTGCTTTCGTTGAATCTAATTCCATAAAATGAACTAAATGATCTTTAAGTATATCGATGAGTCTTCGATCTTTAAGTTTCATAGAATTACGTTTTAAAAGAGTGAAAACTTGTGAATCACGTAAACGAATTAAAATATTTATCGCCTGTTCATAGGATCCCATTTGTTCATATGCAACTGCTAAACTATGATACAAAGCTTGAACATCTAAATCCAATTTGCTTATATCAATAGCTTCTATAAAAAACAAAAAGCAATGACATCTCTAATTACTATGTAACAGATTAAGATCAAATTATCATTCGAAAAGTATTCATTAGATTAATCTTAATAACTTCAATTTGTGTAGATAAGTGGTCACCTGTTTAAAACTTCGGCTACCAGAAACTCCTATCTCTCTATCGCATATATTTTCTCTCATTCGGTTTGTTTTAGTCGATTAAGATATGACCTCTAGTGGGACTATCTACTCTTGTGTGTATTTAAAGTGTCTACAAGCTCCTGATTCGTAAGTTTCTACTAAACTTAAGGGATGGCCTGATTGTGGGTGGCAACGTGTTCCAATACAGCAGAGAACTGTCCTTCAGTTATCTCCTTGGGTCTCAAAATGTACTTCCGAACATATTACATTTGGCTTTCAACTAGATATCGTGGATTTCTTGAAGGAGACAAAGCAGATATAGCATAATGGAACGGTTTGTGCCTCAGCTCAGAGACCAATGTGTCACAAGATATACTGTCAATTAATATTTTACTTGAAGATACAATAAACCCCATTGAAAATTCTGTACATTATATAAATACTTTCCAGAATAAAGATGTTTTAAAAAACCGATTTCCTTCTGCATACATGCTGGCCAATGGGTTATTGATTAGGTCGTTGTAGAGTTCCTTGTTGCTTGTTCTTTTTGGTCGGTTATCTGATATTCAGTATTGCGGTAGAGAAGGCAACTGTTGGTAAAATTTTGCAGCCGCCTATTGAAAATGCTGTTTGTGACACTTCAATGATGAAAACAATAATAAGTAATAATGTTTATGCATAGGACGGCTTAATTTTAGCCCGCAAATTGAAACACGATGTAACATGTTATAAGCACTAAGAATTAGTGATATTATCTATCCATTGAAATGAATTTATATTCCTGAAAATGATGGGAACGCAATGGATTCATTTTTCATTCCAATCATGTATCAGTAGGTGAGGAATAACGTTGGATATTAGAATGTGGTGGCGTCCTTAAAAGTCCTTTTAATCCGCTGAAGGACTGAATTGGACCGACTTCTGGCTTAAAGATAGGGAGGCAGTGAAGTGGTAGAGAGTATTGACTACTTCACTTCCTTGAGCTGATTGCTAATGAAATCTCAGCATGGCTATAGTAGGCTCATGTGGCATTTGACAACTTACATAATCTCTGGTGTAGGCGTGATATATGGTGATCGATCTGTCACTGAAAGTGACGCGTCCCTAGCCATCGCCTCCCTCGACGGCCAGTGTTAGCTGACATAGGATCAGACTGGAAAAGAACTAGTGGTGATCAAACCAAAACATAGAATCATTCTATGAAACCTTTAACAGTTACTTTGTGTCACGTAGGGAGGTGTAGACTGCCTGGTTCGAGTCCTCGGGATTCTAAGGACCATTGGTGACAGATAGTTAGTGAAATAGCTCAAAGTCGTTCACAGTGGTGCAGATGCACTCATTCTCTGTGATCTCTCATATCCATTAAACCCACTATTCTTTCTTCGTCACATTTCTGCTTATAATCGTTCTTTGGAATCTCTTTTTCCTTCTCTCTCTTGCCTTCCTTTGTGTGCTATGTGGAGTGTGGCAACTTGAAACGAAGTACTTCTCTGTAAAGTTCTATGTTGAAACTAGTCATTCAGTCGGCCACCCATCCTTCATTTTCGGGAGCTAGTGGTAGTCAAACTAAAACATAGTATCAGTCCATAAAATTATAAAAAGTTAGTTTGAGCCAGCCACGCAGGGAGGTGTAGGCTGAGTGGTTGATATCCTCGGGACGCTAAGAACCAGTGGTTGGGGAATATTGGTGATATGGTTCAAAATCGTTCTCGGTGATGGATCGGATCCATTCACACGTTGTGATCTGCCTTTTCCAATAAACCATCACATTTTTCCACTTTACTATTCTTTATCCCTCACATTCCTATTTGTTACAGTACTTTTGAATCCCTTTGTTTTTACTTTTATGTGCTTTACAGGATGTGGCAACTTGAACTGGTGCACTTCTTTGTTGAACTTCATGTTGAAACTTAGCCAGTCAGTGAGACACGCCTGCTACAGACGAATGTTAAAGGAAAACGCTGCTTGATTTAAAATACAAAAGATAGGAAAAATTCTACTCGACGATTGTCGGACAAAAATGGTAATGTGGACAGCAGTGGTAAACATCCGACAGTTGACATTTTTGAAACTGGTTTGAACAAAACAATAATCAGTAAGATAGAGGTTGTTACTTGGATTAGCTTTAAGTGATCTAATCATGTCGGTGGATATTTTTTTTCTTTTAACAACGGCTGCAAGTTAAGCTTTAAATGTAAGGTTAACAAGGGATGAAAATTCAGGATAATTAGCCTGCTTGAAATATAATTGTGTGTAGGTGAGCGAGAGCAATTTGTTCTACACTATTATTCTCTCAGGTTCCAAGTGGAATATAAGGCTTCAAAAGCACATATCTCCATTTTACTGTTCTTTGCTATCTATTTTAGCTGAATCCATGGTAGCCCATAAGCTATGAACTCCTCCTCGCACGATCTCTTCCATGTCGACGACGAAGTCTTCGATCCCGGTTCCACTTATGGGCCTATGTAGCATGTAATACCATTCAATGGTCTCCTTAAAGTGTGCCTATTCCATCTTCATTTCATTCTGCATATTTGTTGGGAGACAGGTTCTTGGTTGGTTTTCTACCAGAGTTCTATTGTTACTTATTCAATCTAACTAGTCCCATGATATTCATTGTCGAGCCAGAGAAGACAGCTATTGATGAAAGTCTGCATCGTGTTGGAAATGCACTCGGTGATACATGCACCGAGTGTGTATGAACACTATTTAGAAGCACTGATTTGACATTAATAGTGAGTATTCAAACCTTTTTTTATGCTGACTGCAGTAGATTTTAACAAGCATTTCAGAATAATGAAGGTCTATCAGTGGCCTTTCCATTCCTGTCTTTCACATCTTTATCCATCTCGCCTGTGTTTATCCAGTCAGTTCAAGTGAGTGATAGAGACGACATCCTTCAGCTTCCTAACTGGAGAGAAATCTTCATGTGAATAACACTCTGCAGTTCAAATCAGTTAGTAACTAACACTATCCCCTCTTTTAATACTAAATTTATCGTATTATATCCTTTCGGGATTTGGAAACTGTGATTCACACAGACTGCAGATATTTTCGAGAGAAAAAAGCCTAGATGAACAACCTGACATTATTATATTATTATTATTTCCTTTAGTTCCTAGAGGAACATAGGGCTTCAGCCATGCGTCTCCATTGCGTTCGGTTCTCTGCTAGAGTTTTCACCTGGCTCCAGGTCTGCCCACATGCTTTCATCTCCTCTTCACATGATCTCCTCCAGGTCACCCTTGGACGACCAACTCGTCGCTTCCCTTTCGGGTTCCACTCGAGCAATGGCTTGTCTAGTGATGTCACTTGCTGGTTTCCTCAGAGTGTGGCCAATCCATCTCCATTTCTTCCTGCCTATTTGTTTCACAATCGGTTCCTGGTTGGTTCGCTCCCAGAGATCTTTGTTGCTGATCCTTTCCGGCCATCTGATCTTGAGTATTGAGCGAAGACATCTGTTAATGAAGGTCTGTAGCTTGTTTGAGGTGCTTTTTGTGACACGCCAAGTCTCTGATCCGTATAGTAGTACTGACTTCACATTGGAGTTGAAAATCCCGATTTTATTTTTGACGCTGAATGATGTTGACCTCCACACAGACTTGAGAGTAATGAAAGCTTGCCTTGCTTTCCCGATCCTTGCTTTGATATCCTCGTCAGTTCCGCCTGTAGTTGAAACAATGCTTCCCAAGTAGGTAAAGGAGGTAGTTTCTTTCAGGTTCTTTCCATTTATGCTGATTGCTGTCTGTTGTTGTTGTTGGTGTTGGCCAGGGATCTTCATCACCTCCGTTTTCTCTATGTTCACCTGGAGTCCTATCTTTGATGCTTCTTCTGCCAACTTGTTACTTTTCACTTGCATATCTTCCAGTTTGTGGGAAATCAGGCATATATCATCGGCGAAGTCCAGATCCTCCAAGTTCTTTGTGTGAGTCCATTTTATGCCTGTTTCCTCATTGCCCGCTGTTTGTCGCATTATCCAATCTACCGCAATCAGGAAAATCATTGGCGATAGTAGGCAACCCTGTCTTACTCCTGTCTTCACTTCGAAGGATTCCGTGAGCTTCCCGTTGTGGATTACTTGGCATGCAGCGTTGTCATACAACTGTTGGATGAGATGTATAATTGTCGGTGGCACCCCGTAGTAGCGAAGTAGTTGCCAAATCACCTCTCGATCGACGCTGTCGAAGGCCTTTTCAAAGTCGATGAAGTTGAGATAGAGAGGTGACTGCCATTCCAAACTTTGTTCAATGATGATCCGTAGTGTGGCGATTTGATCAATACATGACTTGTTTCTCCTGAATCCAGCTTGTTCTGGTCGAAGTTTTTCATCCAGGGCTTGTTTGATCCTTTCCAGGATGATGCGGCTTAGTATTTTGCTTGGGATGGACAGGAGCATAATTCCGCGCCAGTTCTTGCATTGACTTAAGTCTCCTTTCTTTGGTAGTTTGAATAGGTATCCTTTCTTCCAATCCTCGGGTACTTTGCCTTCTTTCCACACCTTCTCCAGTAGTGGCGTCATCAAGTCTGCTGTTGTCTCTGGGTCCACTTTCAATGCTTCTGCTGGGATTCCATCTGGTCCTGCTGCTTTTCCAGCTTTCAGCATCTTGATTGCCTTCAGGACTTCTGTTCTCGTCGGGGGGTTGATGTTCACTGGTAATTCTGCTTCCGTTGTTGGTATTGTTGGGCGCGTTGTAGGTGGCGGTCGGTTTAGTAGTCTTTTGAAGTGTTCAGCCCAGTGTTTCCTTTGCTCCACTTCTTTGGTGATTGACTTTCCATTTTCATCCTTCACTGGCTTAATTTGTGACGAGTTTCTGCCTGAGAGGTACCTAGTTGTTTGGTAGAGTGTTGCGAGGTCTCCCTTGCCTGCTGCTTGTTCTGCTTCATTGGCCATGGCTTCATAATACTTTCTTTTGTCTTCTCTGGCACTCTTCTTTACTCCTTTGTTCAGTGTATTGTAGCTTGCATTCAACTCCTGTTTCTGCTGCTCGTCGGTGCACTGGAGAATCTTTTGTTTCACCATCCTTCTCTCTTCTATTAGCCTCCAAGTGTCCGTAGTGAGCCACGGTTTGTCCTGTCTCTTCTTTCTGCCCAGAACTTCCATGCAGGTTTCGCTCCATACTGTTTTCAGGTTGTCCCTGACATTAGCTAAAAATATCTTCTAGACTGGCAAAAAAGAAGCTAAATTAGAAACCTACACAAATTAACCATAGAAATATACTTTTTGAAAATATTTAAACGGCAATTTGTAAATATATTTATTAAGTTCTGGTGTAGTTGTATGAGTTGGATGGTTTTAGTCGCAAACCTTTCACTGCCTTACTAGGCAACCTCTTCAGTGCATATTTCAGTCTGCAATGAGTTTTTTCAGAATAATTTATACTTATTATCAATGTACCCACATGAAGCAAATAAATTCAGAGTACAATTATGAGTCATACTAAAATAAAATCAACCTACTATGGCACCTACTAAACACTCAATTTATATAAGTTCATCATTCATAATACACACACACAGAAGTAGAATGTTCAGTTATTTATCCATTATAATTTTTTATTATTTTATACATTTACGGTATGAGTAGGCTTCAAACTTGAGCTCTGAAACTTCAGTAGCAGTGGTCTTATGCCTTTTCATACGATCAGTTTGCTAGTCTCACGTCGAAACTACCCCTCTTCATCAGACTTACTAACAGCTAAGCGAGGTTTAGGAGTTCGTCGGCCGAGGAATCGAACCTTGGATCATGTGAAGTGTGGTTGTCGAGCATTCTACCGCCTGAACCCCTACTGATGCACATATATTCAGTCAAGGAGGCTAATTAATGCACTTTTAATAGGTTTATTACAGTATATGTTAAAAAAACACGTGCATCATTGGTTCACTGGCACAATGCTTGCCAACCACGCTTCACGCAGTCCATGGCTCGATGCCTCAGCTGACGAACTCAGAAACCCTGTTTAGCCGATAGTAAATCCAGTAAAAAAAGAGGGAAGAAAAGGCGTGAGGCTAACAACCCCATCGTTTAAAAAAACACCATTCCTACTAAAACTTCAAAGCACAAGTTTAAAATAGTATGTTTCATTTGGAACGCGAAGGAATACGGAAAAAATGTTGAAAACACTTCAATGTTATTCATTTGTTATAGTGAAATTATAAAAAAATCGGAGCAAAATAGTGACAACTTACCAGATAGTGAACTACGCTGTTCAATACAGTCTAATAATGTGTGTATAAAATTCTCATTAATATTAACAACGCATAATCTACACCAGTTAGTTAATAAATGAAAAAATTCAATAGGAATTCGTTTCATATAATCGAATAAAACTAATTCATATGTAGACATGTTGAGTTTTACAGATTTCTCTTCAACACCAACTGGCAGATATGGAACAATAGCCTAAATTTGTGAAAAAAAAAGCAGAAAGAAAGGAAATAATTAATGAAAGAATAGATGGGTTAGCATATTTTCATGATGCTTTCAGTATTTAATTGAGTATTACTTTTCTAAGATGTGTGGATGGGTGGTCTAAAATGGGAAGCGCTCCACTTCTTTGCCTAGGGAAGGTGATGTGCCTACAGATAAGGTACTTTCTCAGTTTCTTTTTCCTTTCATTTTTTGCGTGACCTACCGCATTCCTCCAAAATTAATTTCACTAAATATGCAGATGATCTGACAATTTATATCTCAGCCGTTTCTGTATTGCAGTGTCCTGATTTGAACAGTTTCTTATATGAGACTAAACAATTGTCTTACTCATCAAATGGTTCTAGACGGAATCCATCTAAATGTCACACTATTGATTTTAGTTTCAGATGCGAACAAGACTTGAATGGAGTGACTAAATTCCATGATTTTTGTAGTATTGATAGGAACTAAATTGAATACTTTCTATCTTGGCATCACTTTCTCTTCAAATCTCTGTTAGTTGTCTTTTATCCTGTTGATACCTGAAGAACCCGATCGATAGCTGCTACATTGATGTGGTGGTTAGGCTTGCACATCGCGATGACCCAACAAGCTGCACTGGCTGGAACGATTTTTCCAGCAGGTAATACCATGGCAGGAAGGTTGTTAGGATAGCGATTAGACTAAAAGCAGTTACCCGCATTGTGTAAGAATCTTTCTTACACTATGCTGGGGGTCTGAGGGCGAAGTCGTACTGCTGGGGAACAGGGATGTAACAGCAGTGAGGTGTTTCTCTCAGATGACCAGCATGCCAGCTATGCTGTCTCTCCACTAGGGAGAGAAGGGGTTAGAAAAGGTCAACCCCAAAAATTGTACATCCCGACTTACTTTACGGTGGTCCATAACCGGCGGTCAGTTTACTAATACGGAACCAAACCAAGAAACCAGTTCATACAGGCCGTGTGTGACTGGCTTGCCTCAAGCAGTTGTCCCCTGGGCTGTGCGGTCACGCAACACTAACCCTCTTTCTGTTTCAGGTATCCGAAGATTCAATCAACTTCCACGATGTGGGCAGCCGGGAAGTAACAAACGCCCACACACTTCCAAGAGAACACGAAGCCTCCCCGAGCATCATTCTCCTTTACTTACATCACCCTACTACAATCAGTACTATTCTTCAGGCTAGTGAGTCATCTTCACTTCCTCTGTGACCACAAACAATGATGAGAGCTATAGAAACACCCCCGACAGCCTCTTATAGCCACAACGCCAACTTCATATTGCAGCTTTCAACGTCAGGACCCTCTGCCAAATTGGACAACAAACATCACTAGCAAGAAATCTGGTATCTCGAGCCATGGATGTATATTGTGTTTCGCAGACACGCACACAAGACCCGAGTACGGTCATAGGGGTATCGTAAGCATTTTTTAATATCCATCGAATAGTAAAGACTTGCTTTATAGACGTTTAATTACTTTTAAAACTTCCATTTTTCGGGTTGGTTGATCAAATATTTCAGTGACTACTCTCCGAATGGCTCTGCCTGGAGATTTAATTCCAGTCATCATCAATAGAGAGATTTCATCTACTCCTGAATACCAGAATAGTAGGCAGTTACAATTATTGATGAAAACCCCTAGAAGACACTCTCTCGATCAAAGTCTGTATTTGTAGTTCACAGTATTGATTAGGGTGTAGTGTATATCGAAATTCTATATGTACACATAAGTTGCCTTTTGAAGACCAATTCCTGTAAATAATCAAATCATACGAAAGGTTAGTCGTGGTACATTCAGCCAAGTGCTAAAGACTCTGAATTAGACAACCAGTAATATTTTTTATTTTATTTAATTTAGATCTTCCCGTTGATTGATTGGACCGAAGTGCTCAGTTCCTTGTGAATTTGCTTCGACGATATCTTGTCATGTAACCTGAAGTCAATTGGTGGATGGTGACTAGCAATGGAATCCAGGATGCGCACTTCGTCCTATTTTGGGCTCGTTGGCTGGATGTACCCACATTCTCCAGTGAGTGGGGGTGGTCCAACCGAGGCTTGAACCCAGTGCATCAGTGCACCATCACTACTCACTGGGGAATGCAGGTACATCCAACCAACGACTCCCAAATAGGAAGAAGTGCGCATCCTGGGTTCCACTGCTAGTCACCACCCACCAGTTGACTTCAAGTAACACTTCTTAGCCTAGGGAAAAGTATAGCTTTTCTTTATTTTTTATTCGATATAGGCACGGATAAAAAGCTTTTTACTTATCGACTCACTCACATCAAATATCGAGACAGATTAATACTCAATTTATTTCATAAATAACTGCAATTTTTCTTCAGGAAAACGGTTACTCGAAGTGACGAAAAATAATATAACAGAATATTAGGAATTAGTGACCTGTTTAAATCACTGGGCTACCTGAATTTCCATCTAACATTATTATTATTCCCCTTGGCTTCCAAGTGGAACTTAGGGCTTCAAAAGCACATTTCCATATAGTTGCGTTCTTTCCTTTTTTTCAGCTAACTCCACAAATGTCCTCATACGATCTCCTCTCCATGTTACCCTCAGACGGCAAACTCGCCGTTTCCTATTCAGGTTTCACTCCAGGGTCTGACGTGTGGTGTCACTGAACGCCCTACTCAGCGTCTGTTCAATCCATCTCCATTTTCTTTGGAATATTCATTGGGCCTAGTTCACTAGCCGTTCCTAAGCCCGGAAAAAGAGGGAAGGTTATAGGCGCGGCTAGTGACCCAACTCCGGAAAATCAACCCAATCTCTATAAACACCTTGAGGCTAAGCAAAAATGATGATGTACCCATCCAACAAAATGTATTGATTTTTCACCATGTCTTATTGTTTTAGTCAATCAATTATGTCCTTATATCACAAAATGTATCTATACAACAGAGATCTCTGGGAGCGAACCAACCAGGAACCGATTGTGAAACAAATAAGCAGGAAGAAATGAAGATGGATTGGCCATACTCTGAGGAAACCAGCAAGTGACATCACTAGACAAGCCATTGCTCGAGTGGAACCCGAAAGGGAAGCGACGAGTTGGTCGTCCAAGGGTGACCTGGAGGAGATCATGTGAAGAAGAGATGAAAGCATGTGGGCAGACCTGGAGCCAGGTGAAAGCTCTAGCAGAAAACCGAACGCAGTGCAGACGCACGACTGAAGACCTATGTTCCTCTAGGAATTAAAGGAAATAATAATCTATGCGTGCTTTTAAATCGGCTTTCATCAGCCTACTGTTCGACATTTCTCGAATGAGATGAACGAAAAAACATCATAAGGGACTAGGTTTTGCTTCAGATCGAACAGTATTGTGTCACACGATATAATATCAATTATTAATTCTAGTTTAAGATCTTCGAAACAGGGTAAATATTATGCAGTAAAAGTACATTGAAAATTACTAGCATAATGTGTAAACATTTTGTCCAGAATAAAATATAAAGTGATTATCATTATTATTAAACTAAATCAAAAAAAACAGAACAGTATCAAAGTCTTCGACAAACCTACCTCCAAATGACCAAGAATATGGAATTTTTGAACATGCTCTTCCCAAGCATCTTTAGTAGATAAAACTTCTGAACAAAGTTTTCCAGCTTCATCGAATTTACGTTCACTTAGCAGATGATCCACATATGTGATACCAACAGACTAGTATAACGAAAGAGAAGCAAAGGAAAAAAGAGTATTTTAGTGAAATCGTGAAAATTGTTGCAATTAAATTTAAACATTAAAGTTTTGAGTAAAGCACGAACAACAGTTTTTCTAGAATAAAATGGTACCGTCATTTACTTCTTTGGCTTCTCATCAGTTACTTACAGGCAAAAGTCATTATTAGGTATATCTACAGAAACAATTTTAACATACTTACACAGAGTTCACTTTTAAACAAAAAAATTAATCAATGTATGCATACAAAAGTAATATATATAATAATAAACACTTTACCCCAAACGATAATGGTCACACACATAGGAAACTTTCGGCATTATGTAATCAGATGAAAGAAAGGATGAAAAAATCCAGTTATCAGCGCAAAGAAAGACTGATAAGCGCTTCTTTCTAAACACATAAATCGGTTTTCAGGAGCTTGATGGAGATAGATTCAGCAAACTTGACGAGGACTGAACTCTTCTGCGTATTGATAATTTTGAATGATCTCGCGACGTCCACCTCATGACCCTTGTGAAGGAAATGCCTGGCGATAGTTTTATTTAATGCATTTGTTCTCTTGAAATGTAGGCTTTTCAGTACATGTTTAGAAAACCGTAGATATGCCCTTCTTCTTTCTGTTCTTCCAATATAACTGCTCCCGCAGATACATGTAAATTTGTATACACAGTTGGAGTTAACATGAGAAGGATATCTGTCGACTTTTGACTGAACCAAAGAGAATGTTGTCCGATAGAATAGGTAGGAAGCATGACTTTCATTGTTACACACTACAAGTCTGTCATCGACATATCAACAATAAGAAATTGTTTCGTGTATGTTTCAACTTTGTTTTCTCAAGGTTGGACATGAAGATTTCTGCTATAACACGGCTAAGTGGACTGGCCAGAGCTACACCCTCTCTTTGGCGGTAAAGTGTTGTCAAACTGGAATTGCACATCCATGATACAAATTAGCAGTAGGCGTTTGGAATGCTGACTCTCGGAGTGGGAGTATACAGTCAACGGTTCACAGTCAGATGAACCTCAAAAGAATCTGAGTGGTATCGTGAAATCTGAAAGGCATAACTCAAAGTTGAGTCCATACCTAGTCAGAATTGACACTCAACTTCAGTCTAAATATTGTATGTATTGAATAAAGTGTATTACCTCCATACAAGACCACAACAACTGAGGATCTCGAAATAAAATGGGAAGAAACACAGAAAATCTCTAATAATAGAAACACTACAAGAATAATTTACACAGTCTCCAATTGAAATACATATGCAACCTACCAAGCATAAAACTAAACAAAATCGAAACAGAAATTCCATCTCTAGGATTTAAATATCATCTGTCTAACTTAATTTTCATCAGAATTGATAAAGATGGTCGATATTACAGAATAGTGAAACATTTCACTTGCTATCCGAACGCAGTTGTTCGCTAAAGCAGAATAAGTTACCAATGAAAAACCTACCAACTAAATGATACAATCATTATTCATTGACCGGACAATAATTCTGCGTTCAGTATTACCTTTTTGTAAAATGGCAATAGTACAAAAGGAGTCTGGCTGACACACTGTTTAGCAAAGCAGTGGATGGCATTATATTCCTAAAGTAGGACTGACTGATAGAGAGTTGACAGTTACGGAAAAGAAATCTAACAGAAAATGAACATCCCAAGAACTTTATATAATGAAATTTTGAGAAAAGGAAACGTCCAAACTGAAGCTTAAAACATTACGAAAAACGTTTATCCGTCTTGCATACAAAAAGAGAAGAAATATCGACAAAAGTAGAGGAAAAAAAGAAGAATCAAAGCTGTATTGAAAAGAAAACCTGACGTTACATTGTTTCAATTTTTATGACATAGAATGCTCATTAATTCAACTGGAAGTAGATAAGCATAATCCGCCTGATTAACGCAGCATATATATATATATATATATATATATAGTCGAAATCAGTCAGTCCTTCAAAATAATCAATAAATAGAGAAAACACCAGTTATTTTTGATTGGACACTAGTTATTAAGTGGTGTCATGCATCTAGTTCTTTGTTTGGTGCAGACTGAAATCTATTATCAACCAAGTTTGCAATGTGGCCACCATGCAAGGTGGCTCGCCATAACGGTGTACTCTGGATTGTTGTTATTAGACAGTTGGAGGCACCAGTTAGTATCCAGTCAAAGTATTGAATACAGTTCTACAAGAGGTCCATCGCGAGCCCGAATAGCTCAGTGATAACGTCTCTGACTGCAATAGTAGGTGACACGGGTTCGAATCTGAGGAAGGTCATGATTTCCTTGAAGATTGTGGATACAGTTTGGTGGCTATTGCCAACTAGCGGAAGAAAGCCAGATCCGAGATTTCTTGCCGGTTGCCTCCAATCATATAATAACAACAATTCTGTGACGATGAGCCACCAGCTATCATGGTGGCCATATTGCAAACTTGATTGTCAAAAGAATTCAGTTTCTACTAAACAAAGGACCAGACGCATCACACTAGCTACTACCAAGTATCCAATCAAAGCAAACAATAACTGTATGGTGAATAAACAAATATCAAACTCTACACTAAAAAATGGGTATTTATCAGCTAGCGAGCTGGTTAGCTACGCTTCATTCTCTGAATAAGTAATCAGAACTGTAAAATACAATAACTTCTTTTAGGAAAACAACTTGTAAAAGCAAATAGTATGCAATTTAGTTAACTCACTTGAATTGTATGTCGACTAAGTAAACGTGGATGTTGTTGAGCTGCTTGAAGTCCTTTAAGAAATAAATTATTTTCAAGGAACCAATCAATACGATCATCAAGAGTTAACTCCTGAGCACAAATGAGTTCTTTTTTAGAAAAAATATAATGTGTATTTTCATGAGGCACACTAGCTGACAGATAAAAGGAAAATAATAAAGAGAATAAAGTAATATTATGAATGACACAAAGCGGCAGGGAGCGGGGGAGGAGATCGTTGAAATATTTAACATTCAGTTATATAATTCAAAGTGAAACAAATGCGTTTACAAATGATGTAAATTCAGGGTTACAAATGTAATAAATCATAAATACATTAAGATGACAACTTTACTAGTGAACCTATAGGTGGTTCAACGATCGAATACTCGCCAACTATGCGCTTGGTGTAGGGTTCGATTCATGGCTGACGCACTCCTAAACCTCGCTTAGCCGATAGTAAAACCCAGTAAAGAGTGAAGGTTGTGAGTGAGGTTAGCGAACTCACCGGGTAAAATACAACACCGCTATTGAAACTTCAAAGCCTAAGCTTGAATCCCTATGTTCCAATCAGAAAACAAAGGATTAACGAAGAAGTGAATGTATCATATAAGGATTGAAGGTATCAAGGTAAAGCCAATTAACGTGATTGTGAAGGTATGCTGACTGAGATGGCTAGGACATGCGTTGTTTCTTCCTCAACAAGTAATGTTAGCTAATATAGAATTTAGGTGGAAAATAGGGGTAGAAAAATCAAAAATTTTCAAATATTTGTTCTGTAGGGATTTTGTTTGATTGGTTACAGGATTTCATCATGAGCTGACATCAGTTAGAGAATCGCTGGAAAACCTGGGAGTACTGGACAGCTGTTTCTTACTAGTTTGGGACTCTTCATCAGTGTGCACCCACCAGGATTCGAACCCAGGACCTTCTGGTTATAAGGTGAGCTCGTAGACCATTAAGCCAATCTAATGGCCCATGAATTCTAACTTCTGCCAATTCACGACATAGCGCGACCCCTAGCCAATGTCTTCGGCGAGTATTTGTCCTCACACCCAACCTGCTGCACCCTACTGGTCACGACTTCTCACCAGAACCCCAGGGAACTACCTACCTGGATAGAGCGAATCTCCAGTAAGCATCAGATCAATTTTCAAGTATTGGTTTTGCAGGGATTTTGTTTGATTGGTTGGGGCATTGGGTTCGAACCCCAGCTGGTGCGTACTAATGAAGAGTCACAAACTAGGACGAAACAACTGTCTAGTAATCCCAGGTTCGCCAATGGTTCTCTAAATGATGTCAGCTCATGATGAAATCCTCCAACCAATAAAATCAAAAATGCCATCAATCCGTGAAGTGTGTAACTACTATTGGTTTGATTCACTTGGGGAAGTATAGACTTTTCTGTCTGATTGGAGTCGTCAAATAATAGAGATTCATTCAATAAACACGGTGAGTGACATCGTTTTCAATGCCAGAGGATGTATTCACTTTTTATGAACTCCCAGATCTATTAAATTCTCATTATTCTCCATGTCATTATTAATTATCCTATTTTATATTTTCGCTTATTATGGTTCCGTCATTTTCTACGTTACCTTATTTCTCTGATACAATGCAGTATACTGTATGTAAAGGCAAGTCTTCCCTGCCTTGCTTACTGAAGCTGGTGTCTTTCAAGGTGCTGTTCTATCTTTCCTTTTCTTTTTTCTTTCTTTCAACACAACTTGCCTGTTTCCGAAGAAATCAACTTCGTTAATTACGCTGATGAATTGGCTGTTCCAAACTGAATAGATTTTTGTCGGACATCAGGCAGTGGTCAAAGTTAAATGATCTTACACTGAGCCCTTCCAAAAGTCAGGCAGTTAGCTTCACCTTCAGGCATAAACTTGATCTACACGAATAGGTTCGTTCACATGATCATCGTAGCATAGAGAGCGTTGAAATAGAGACTAAGTCAAGCATAAAATACCTTGGAATAGTTCTTTTTTATGAGCTTCCATAGTCATTCCATATCTCGTTAATTTTTAAGAAAATATTCCATCTCACCTTCTACATAAAGATGAACATGACGGCAGCCTCCTTAAAATTTGGGCTACCAAAAACTTCCATCTCTCTATCGCATATATTTTCTCTCATTCGGTTTGTTTTAGTCGATTAAAATATGACCTCTAGTGGAACTATCTACTCTTATGTGCATTTAAAATGTTTACAAGCCTCTGATTCACAAGTTCCTACTAAACTTGAGGAAAGGTTTGACTGTCGGTGGCAATGTTTTCCAATACAGGAGAGAACTGTCCTTCAGTTATCTCCTTGGGTCTCAAAATGTACTTCTGAACATCTTACAATTGGTTTCCAACTAGATATCGTGAATTGACTGTAGGAGGCAAAAAAGATATATAATAATGGAATGGCTTGTGCTTCAGTTCATAAACCATTGTGTGACAGGATATACTGTCAATTAATACTTTACTTGAAGTTATCGTACGAAGGGGAAATATCATGCAATAAACTTCTCTGAAAATTCTATACATTTTATAAATACTGTCCCGAATAAAGATATTAATATTATTAAGACAATCAGAAATCATTTAACCTGTACTTTTACAATTTGCTAACTCTTGCCTTTTACCTGTTGTTCTTTATTGCTCCTCCTTAGTTTTCTCTGGACTACTCAAAAAGGACTATAACATATTGTGCAAGGTAATAAAGATTTTCAGTTGTGTCACTAAGTCAGCTCAGTACTACTGTGGTGAGAGCTGTCTGCAAGACAAAATTGTAGACAACAATTGACGTCAATCTTTACGTCCATGTTACGTCCCGAATCGGGGTCATGAGAAAAAAAATAACAAAGCTTAACCTTGAGGAACTCAACAACCAATCACACCAGACTTAACGTGCGCAAATAGGATTCGCAGACATATGGCTTAACTTTCTAAGATACACTCACAAGCAGTAAAGAATAACCTTCAGCAAGAGAACAACTAATCAGAAGACGTTACTTCTCCGCTGACAATAATGTACATTAAAATCTATAAATATCTGTTGATTTTCTCAAGAAACGATCTGTTGCCTGACCCTTGTCTTCTGTCATTACACTACTATAGTCGACATGCACCTGAACTCTTGTGAGAAATAGTCTGAACCCATATTATCTGATTACCAGCACCTTCTTTACTCTCAACTCTCCCCAGCTTGCATCTCATCAGCTAGGACTAGAAGTCATTATAAGAGATTACATACTCGCAAAACTAAGTAAAAAAAACTCAACGATGCCCTATTTGACCAGCATTTTATACAGTAGAGAAAGTGTTAAGTATGAAACTTATAACTTGCTACGTAATTAGCAAAATAAACGACTCTTTGATTTTCTCCCACGCGTAATATATGGTGAGACTATTTCAATTATCGTATAATTTTAGTTATTATCATTTTAGATTTTCGGTACATTTTTTAATTTACTGTTACTGCTAATTATAAATTATTTAAATTAATCCCAGCATGTGAAGAAAATCAAAACAAGATTTTCCTGAACGTTTCGCTGTGTAAGCCACAGCTTCTGTAGCAGATTTATTCGGATTTTTATTAATCATCAAAATATATTTTGATGATCTTGTTTTGATTGTTGTTTTGATTTTCTTAACACGCTGAGATTAATTTAAATAATTTGTAATGAATCAATCTGACTCGGTGCTCAAACTATTCCAGGAATTTCGTAACACCTACGGCCTGGAAACCTATAATTTTACTGCTAATGTCTAAAAAGTTGTTATTATCAATTTTGGTTCCTCATACCATGTAATTTTGTTGTTGTTATTATTGTGTAAATGAAATACAATCGTGTAGTATATGCTGAGAATTCCCTTCTGTATCATGAGTACTGTTTTGAAATAAAGCAAATCATTATTAGTATTCATTTTATGAAGTGTGTCAATCTGTTGTACTTTTATGCAAAGTCCTAATTTGAAAATCCAGTTGACTACAGTTCACATGACTACAGTTCCACACATGAATATGCTCATTCTGCGAAAATTAGTCAATAATGTGATACACTTATCATTCATTAAAATATATGAAGTAGTAAAATGTATTGAGTAATAACACAAAATAAAGGTAAGCCATTATTTCAATATTCTGGTGAAGCACAAGAAAACAGAATAAGAAAAGGCTTTATTTTACTCATTATATTATATGTAACGATATTTTTGAAATGAAAGCGGACAAAAGCGTTGATAAACACAAAGAATTTAATACCTGTTAACAAAGGTCTAATGCGTAAAACTTTGTATTTCCAATCCCTATGATTTTTTGCATATAATATAAGTCAAGTAACGACAGAAACAATATTTGTTAGTCTGCCCAATAAGAAGGATATCATAAACTCTACACTGATGTCACAATTGGCAAATAACAATACTGTTTGCCTTTTTCTTGTACCTTATTGAATCCATCCTAGTGTTGCTACCATCTTCGGTTGTTTGTTTTTTTACTGATACAGAATATGATTGATTCTCCGAAAATGATAGTTGACATACTCTATTTGTATCTATTTACAAGTAGTATATAATATAATCTGATATGAAACAACGCAAAATCTACATTTGAGATCGCCAGACGTGACAAATAGTACAAGTGAAGTTATAGTGGGTTAAAGTATACACTATTTTGATCTTTAGATGGTCGGAGGAAATCGGAATGAAGTCATCCACATAGGTTCGTGCTTGCTGCTACTCATCAGAAAGGCGTATCTGTAATCTTCTGAGATTCGAACCTGTATCACCCAGTTCTGCAGTTAAAGACATTACCACTGAGGTATTCTGGCTCGCGACTCACATCCTGTTGGATTGTAATGGATATTTTTTTTATTGGACACTAGATAGCACATAACTAGTGTCTAATCAAAGTACTATTTTGATCGTTTGGTAAGAAGCGTGATCCACTGACTTTCATACGTACATTATCAGAAAATTAGGAATACTTCAATGCTGATTGCATCAAGAACCAACATCGGTTAGAGAGATCATTGAGAACCGGAGAGCACTGGACAGCTGTTTTGTCCTTGTTTGGGACTCTTCAGAAGTGTACACCCACAACCCCACAAGGAATCGAATTCAGTTATGGTCAACGAACTTGAAGTTCCAGGATTTAACCTTTGGTGCGGTCGTGGGTATGCACTGCTGAAGAGTCACACACTAGGAGGAAACGGTGGTTTAACACTCCCTGGTTTTCAATGATTTCTGCTACTGTGATGTTAGTTCGTGACGGAGTTTACACTGCTTTTAATCTAAATCCCTACAAAAACCCATAATCTAATTTAAGAATATGTTTAAACTGAATTTCACTCAGTTTGATCTGATTAAACAGAAATTAGTATAGGGCTTAACACACTAAGTGTTACCTATTGCTGTCACGTTGAGTTTTTTTACAAATCTCATACATACTACTTATTGACATAAGTAGTTGGAGACCAGTGACAGTCACGAGTAGAGCACGCCAATATGATCAGCGTGATCTAGATCTTGGATTACAGTTTAACCCGATCACCTTGATCTGACTAGAAACTAACTAACCACATAAATTAATTAACATTCTCGTTCACACTAACTAAGCTTGTTTCCTAAATATAATTTAAGGGTAAAAGTTATGTTTCCAAATGAGATTGCATCTCAAAAGATATTAAGTTTGAACGTGTACAATTTTCGCGGATTGTAATGATTAGCCCTACTTAACATCTGAGAACGTTTAACTAATCTAGTCAATCAGCTGACACAAAAGGCTTTATGGTAATTAACTTGTCGTAGTATAGAAACATCCCCATTTCATTTTTTTTTGTACGTGCATATAATTTGAACTCATGAACTGACATTTTGTTAGTTAGTGATGAAATTCTATCAATTAAAAATCTGTGTTAATTAATGACTACAGGCATTACTTTTATTGAAATGATTGATTTTCACATTTGTTATTGATTTATTTTTAAAAATGAATATAACATGTATTATAATTGATTGATCCGTGTAAGGTTGAATAACTACTGGTATGGATGAATGAGCAGGCTAATTAAGGATAGACATTAATGTACTAAGCTGTATATTTGATAAAATTTGATTTGATTTAGATAAGATGGCTTTTCCTTATTATTGTAACAAAGTTATTGAATGTAAACGAATTATCATATATGTAGGCTGTCTTTATCAACCTCATACAACAGCTGGCGATATGACAGTGATACCACATATCAGGTGATCCACAACGGAAAACTCAGAGAGGTGTTCGAAGACCATACAGGTGTAAGACAAGACTGCCTGTTATTACCGATGATATTCTTAATTGTGGTGGACTGGATTATACGTCAGACTGTGCATTGGGAGCGAGGAGACAGGAATACGCTGGACCACTAATCAGAAGACTATAGAAGATATGGATTTTGCGGATGATGACTTATGTCTAATGTCACACAGACTCGAAGACTTGCAGGCAAAAACCAACAAACTGGTTGAAGAAACAGCCAGTGAAGAAAGAAATCCAGGTATACATATAGAAGGCGGAGGTGATGAAGATAACCAACCAACTAACAGCAACAACAGCCAGCACCAATCACCATCAACGGGAGAGATTTGACAGAGGTTAATTCCTTCACTTATCTGGGAAGCACGGTTTTAACCACAGGTAGTCGGAATCGGAAAGGCAAGATACACCTTCAGCAATCGAAAATCAGTTTGGAAATCTTCTGCACTGGACTCAGTAAGAAAAAAATCGGATTTTCAGCACCAATGTGAGGTCGGTCAGTCAGTGCTTCTAGAGGGGTTAGAAACCTGCACTGCGTGTCAAGAAAAGGATTTCCAACAGCCTTTTTCAGACTTTTATCAACAGCTGCCCCCTTCGCTGGCTGGCTCCATACTGTCATTCAGTCCCCACCCACCATCAAATAACACTATGTTAATGCTCAGGCATCGTCGAAGCATCTGTAATAGGAGCCGTCCGGTTCACACAGATAAAACATTCCAGTTAAATATAAGCCAATTAATTATTGGGAAATACAAGCTTGAACAGATAAATAATTTGCTTCAGGTTAGACCACGGATTGATATCAGTTAGAAAACAATTGAAAACCAGGGAGTACTGGACAGCTGTTTCATTCTAGTTTGGGACTCTTCATCACCGCCCACCTACCCACTACAGGGGTTCCAACCCAGGACCTTCTGGTTACATGACAAGCTCGTATACCATTCAGACACTCTGGTCCGATCTGTCCCAAACTAGGATGACACAACTGTCCAGTACTCCCTGCTGATTTTCAATGGTTCACTAACTGATATAATTTGGTGGTCTAACCTAAGATAAATAATTCTTACCTAAACCAATAGAATATGACGAATCAGTAGACTGAATAGGTAGCTTTTCATGATAAATTTCCTTGTATTGTTGTGTACCAAGTGCAGAGTCAGGCGTACCAACATCAAAATCAACGTCTAAAACACATATTTCATATTCTTGTGGAGTACATCTTCCTTTACTAGTATATAATAATAAAATGCAAGCTTGATGTCGAGATATACTATGAATAATAACTCCATTCATATTAAGCTGATAAACAATTTCCACATAACGATTAAGCAAACCAATTCGAGCATCAGACGTTGCTGATGCTGTTGTTGTTAAACTTTGTGAAGATTGATGACTGAATGAAGAACGACTAGAGTGTAATGAACGATCAGGATTAGAATTACGTTCCATAATTTGACAAATTCGTATTGATTCCCCCCGACCAATTAAAAAACAATTATCTGTACACCAAGAAAGACAACAGACAGTAGGACCACTATACGACGATGATGATGATGGTCTAATAAAATGAATCAATAAGAAAATACGCATTTAGAATTATCATCTTATACACATCTATAAGATAACTTAAAAAGCCCCGAAAAATCACTAATATGTTAAATTAGATAAAACAAAGTCGAAAGCAAACTGTTGCACTAATCATGACTCGATGTTCAACTGCGAATAAATGCTGATAACTCATAATTAAGGCGATCAATCTAGAAAAAACCTCACATAAAATGAGCAGTTCATCAATACTCAAAGTCATATACCTCTAAGTAGAAAGAGGAATCTTATCTATTCTTTTTCCTCAAGGATCTGGAAAACATGTGCCAAGGAATCTGTTAACGGAGGGCTAAAATTATATCCAAAGAATCTTGATGGGAAATGGTTCCCCACTGAGCTTCATTGACAAGAAGTTGAAACTAAAGAAAGCTACTGAATAGGTTGGGGTCCGATGGCAAATCAGTCTGACGCACACTAGTGAATGACTACAGGATGAAGTTGCCTGAAGTCCTAATGAGAAGTCATGATTGATAGTGTCCACTAATTTAGGTACGAGGATAAATACACTCCGATATCATTGGCTAGTGGCCGCGACAGGTGTATCGCGAATTGGAAGAAGTTAGAATTCATGAGCGATTGAACTCCATCCTAGTCATTGAACGGTCAACGCAATCACCCTGTAATCTGAAGCTATTGGGTTTGTTCCCTAAAGGTGAGGTCATGGGCGCACAACGCTGAAGAGTCCCGAGCGAGGACGAAACATCTGTCTAGTATTCCCTGGTTTTGAAAATTTATTAGGTACATGATAGAGAATACTGGAAAATAGTTCTTTAATACTTATTTTGTGGTCTGTTTGAATCAGGGATATTGATAATGTCTAACTTAATACTTTCCATTACGGCTTTGTTTATCATGTGTCCAAGCCAATTTCACTTTTAACAGTTTGAAAAAATTTGGGCATTGGATATATGATGTTCATTATTATAAAAGTTTTGTATTACCCAATGAATGAAAAACAAAACGATATTGTTTTTACTGACGTTTCGCTATTTGACAACGGATGAGAAGGAAAAAGAAAAATAACTACCCAGAGGACTTCATCAACAAAATCAGTACCGACATTAAATATGATCGAAAACGTATTTCGAAGGCATGGACCTCAACAGTTGTCATTCCACATAGAGCGGAGACGTTAAACGATGTCAGGAGAGTACTCAATCAGCTCGACATTAGAGTTTTCTTCAAAACATCAGACACACTACAACTCAACCTTGTCCATATAAAAGACCAAATCCCTAAAGATTCTCTATCTAATTGTGTCTATAAAATAAAATGCTTGGAATGTGATGCAATATACATCGGACGAACATCACAAGAAATCAAAAATCGCAAGAAATGAACACCGTGGAGTATATGTTAGACCACTGAGAAATCCAGTTGAACTAGTAAAGCTTGAAAAATCATTAGCCATAGGTCGTCTACATGCAATAGAATCACTTCATAAAATTGATTTTAACAATATTGAAATCATCACCCAGAAAAATTTCAGAAATCACAAAGAACGTCTGATATCATCGGAAGCACTTCATACCAAATGGAATCCAAATCTTCTGAATGGGAATGATGGACTAAAACAGAATTTGATCTGGTTACAACACCTCCATCCCCCATGAAGTGACAAAATCAACACGGATGTGATAAGCAAGTTCACTATGTAAACACACTGGTTTTATAATCTTATACACTTATTAAATCCAACAATCTACACCTGGTTTTGTTATCTTTACCAACTAGCCAACTTGACAATGCAAAAATGACCCTATGCTGAGGAACGATGATTAAGTTGTTATATATAAGCTGAGATTTTGTAAATTCTGATTTAATAATACTTTGATAAAGCTATTAGCAGCATTATTTTATTTTTTTTATTTATTTTTGATTACAGCTTGATGCCACACCGTATTTTTAGTACAAGTGTGGAATTTTCAGCATGGATATCGGTAGCCCAAATTTTGCAGGCCGACCATAGATATCGGGTGTGCGTCGGCAGGGGATCGAACCCCGGACCATGTGCATGGTCGGCGAGAGTCCTAACCACTGTGCCACCGACGCGAAACATTAGTAAAAACAATATCATTTCGTTTTCCATTCATTGTGAAGTACAAAAACTCTTATAATAATGAACAACTTAGTTTAGTCATAAGAAAAATCAAGTTCACAACAGGTTAAGATAGAATGGGAAATCATAACTTACTCAACATTTTGATTAGCATACTGGATGAACGTAATTGGACGATGATCCCGAGCATCATAAACACATATACACTAAAATTAAGAGGCAAAAAACAAATAACATCTAATAATCAACGAAAGTGGACAACTTAACTATCTGAAACAATTGTACCAAGGAAACCGAGAAACAAGTTTATCACAAACAGTTATATAATCATGAAAACGTTTACTTTTCTTGATTTCATTCCTTTGTATTCCTCAAGAGGAAAGAATAGCTTCAAGTTATGAAGTTTCAGTAGAGATGGGTTTGCTAGATCTATGAGCTGAATCTTTCTACTTGACCGGGCTTAAAATTGGATGAGCGTCGTCAAGGAATGCGTTGACCGGGAATTAAACCCGGGTCACAGGAACCCTGGTTAATGGGTATTGCATCAATGAACCACCAATGCATAACGAAAATATAAACCCGATATTCAAAAGGGAATATTCCTCTAATAGCTTTTCCTTTAGCAACTAATTGCATGATCTAGATCTTTTAGAAGGGATGTTAACTTATAACTAAGAGAGAAATCAGACGAACTAATCAGAACACCATTGAGGATATAACCGTTTCATCTAAATAAAGACTTGTCCGGAAAGAATTATATGAATGCGATCTTAATTTCTTCAAGTAGACTGAAGCATATGACAGCTATTATTTGTCTGACTAGCCAATTTTGACTTCTCTCCTCGATTGATTTGACCCAAATGTTCAGCTTCTGTTGACATTTCAGCTCCTATTGACGACGTCTCAATGATATCTGAGGAGTAAGTGGAAGAATTTCGGTAAGTGTGACCCAAGTGATGTATTGGATAACGATGGGTACTGGGTTCGAGTCTAATTGTGGACTCCATTACTGACTCATTTGGAATGCAAATACATTCAGATGACAAGTCCCAGGTAGGAAGAAACGCACATCCTGAATTCCACTGCTAGTCACTATCTACTAAATTACATCATATGACATTTTGTCTTCTCGAAGTATTCTGAACACATAGTGAAGAAAACTTACTGATTCTTTTCAGTTAAGCAATTACCAAATGTTTCATTAAAGTATACAAATCCTAACGGTGTAAATCATTGTCTACTTGATATTATTGTAATAAAGACTTTAAAATACGGATAACCAAGTTTCCTATTAGTGCATCCAGTGGTTCATTGGTAGACTGCGCGTTAACCACGCATGTAGCCTGGGGTTCCATTCCCTGTCGATGTACTCCTTAACCTCATTAGTTTAGTAGCTAGTAGTAAGTCGGGGGAAGAGAAAAGGTTGGTCATGAGGCTAGCGAGCCCAACCGACACAAGAAAACAGCACTAACCCTACTGAAACTCCAAGACTTGAAGTGCTATATTCCACTCAGAATGCAAAGCAATGGAAGGAAAAAATGTTCCCCATTAATAAAACCAACTCATTCTTAATTACATAATATGGAGAAAATGCTGATATCCTTCAGAGGTAATCAGGCGTATTGAATGTGCTATATAAAGTTTAATATCTTTGAAAATAATCATTTTCAGATTAGATGTACTGACAGAAGATTTTAAAATAAGCAGAAAATGACATTCTTATTTTTTTTTATTTTAATCCTTTACACTTCGAGTGAAATATTGGGCTTCAAGCTAGAGCTTTGGAGTTTAGGTAGCAGCGGGTATTTTTGATTTTACAGAGTGTGGTTGCTAGCTTCAACCTTCCCTATCTACCAGTCTCACAACCGGCTCAGAGAGGTTTAGGAGTGCGTCCACCGAGAATCGAACCCCAGAGCATGTTAGGCGTGGTTGGTGAGCATTCTACCGCTAGACCAACGACACCCGAAGAAATGATATTAAAGTAGGATTTAATGAATTCATCAGACATCCATAGAACTTCCCAGCTGAACACCCTTTATACATAAGATATGTGATTAATAAATAAAGTGTAGTGAAACGACCATATAAAAGAAAAAGTCAAGTTCAGATGCATGGTGGGGAAAGGGATACGATAATGAAAATTCAGATTATATTTGATTACGGTTCAGTCACATTTTTATAATAAACAATCAGCTAAGAAACAGAGAACATAAAAATGTTAGGAAGTGCGAAATGAACAATAATAAAAATAATAATAATAAGAGATAGGATAAATAATATAGTAATAATAGTTACAAATAAAATAAATTACTATATTCAAGTGTTAGTTTGCAGGAATTTGATTGGTTTCAGGATTTCATAAGTTGGCATTGGTTAGAGAACCAGTAGAAAACCTGCAGGGAGTACCGGATATCTGTTTCGTCCTAGTTTGGAAATCTTCATCAGCATGCACCCAAACGGCGAGATTCGAACCTAGGACCTTAGGGTTATGAGGTGAGCTCGTAGGCCATTAAGCCGCCGGGACCCGATCCAACGGCCCATGAATTCCAACTGCTGCCAGTTTACGGTATAGAGCGACCACTAGCCAATGTAACTGATGAGCATTTGTCCTAACATCCAACCTGCCGAACCCCACTGGTAACTACTTACCTGAATAGGGCCAGTGACTAACGGCTTAATGGTCTACGAGCTCGCATCGTAACCAGAAGGTCCTGGGTTCGAACCCCGGTGGGTGCGTACTGATGAACAGTTCCAAACTAGGACGAAACAGCTGACTGTACACTACTCCCACGTTTCTCGATGGTCTCCTATCCGATGTCAGTTCATGATGAAATCCTGAAAGAAATTATGACAGTTGATTCACAGTGATCACTATAACCTTCCTTCACACGAATTATTTTCAGCTTCCTAATTACTGTGACATAATAATACTAACGAAGATATGAGTACTATAGTATATATTAACTAAAAAAACAAATAAATCGTGAAAATGTCATAAAAATGAGAAATTACTAAAGAGGAAGGAGACAGATAAATTTTATGATACGTATGTGAAAAGAGTGAAGAATACGGAAGTTTACAGTAGTTAGTTTTAATTGGTTTAAGCCTGCCCTAGGCCAATGAAGAGACAAAGGTAAAACAAACTTCTTTTTAAATCCAAAGATTAGGGTAGCCATAACCCTGGCAAATTACCATAGCTTCAGCTTTGTGTAAGAAACGAGTTCGGAAAGTTTGAAAGAATATGATCAATTACCATCAAAACAGTTCCTTCGTACGCCTGGTAACTTCTATCATCAATCACATGACACAGAATCGCGCTTCTCAAAGATTTTGCTTGACATTTTTCAAACTGTGAAGAAAAGGAAGATGCTCACCAGTTCGTTTGTTGAACTACCTAGTTGCTTACCCTATATAGCTCTCTCTACAACAGCAACCAAACTGATAAATGCACTTGGAAGTGGCACAAGTAATTAACTTCTCTTTCGCCTGATCAGCAATATAATTAGTCAATTAGAAACTGATACAAAAAGGCCGTTGGTAGTATAAGTCCTTTTATGACTGTAGACATTCTGAAGCCTTGTGAACAACTGCTTCTTTCAAACTGTGGTTGGTTCCCCTTTATTGTTTGTGTGTCTCCCTATGAATCAATTACGATAACCTATTTTGACTAACGCATTATGGATGCATCCCAAAAGGTTTTCCATGAAACCATCTGTGCGGATCTCTTTTCTTCTCTTTTTTCTGGTATCTGGCCGAATTGTTTTCGTAGCGGATGAGAGAGCTTCTTCTTATAAACAACTATTAAAACATAAATGATGCATTCTAAATATTTTAAAGGACGATATAGGACTGTGCACAAAAGTGTATCATTTTGAAGCAGCACAAATCCAAGAGATATGTGAATAAAGGAGCAGAAGCAGAATTATACTCCAATAAACAAACATGATTGAGATGTAGAGAATAGTTAAATAAAGATTAGCGAAGCTTTCACGATCTATAAAATAACAAGGAGTGAATGCAATTCCGCCCATGTGAAAAACTGATTACAAGACATTAGTCAGTGAGTTTATGGATTAATATCAGGTTTCAATTCGACTACCCCTGGGTTCTCTTCAACCTAATTCTACTTCAGCTAACATTAAACATCGGTAAAAGAATTGGTTCGAAATGTCTAATACATACTGTCTATACCTAAGTCGATAAAGCTTCATGGATCGAATCACCTTTACCTCCTCAGGTTCAACGTCTAAACTAGTTGTCACTGACTAGATTGCACCATTTGAAACGAGAGAGTAAGCGAAAGCACCTTTCATCAACAAAAAAACGTTAACCTCTTTCTCACTTTAGCTTCCATGTGTCATCTCTAACAGATGTAAAGTAGGATAAAAGCAGCCTACTGAACATTATGGCTAGGGCAACTATTGCATATACTCAGTAACCGCCTTCCTCGTCGACCAATGTTTGCTGACATCATATTAGGTTGGAAAAGAGTTGTTGGTGGCGAAGACAAAACTCGACACCAATCCATGAAGTCTTTAATAGTTGGTTTGAGCCAGCCACGTACGGGGTGTAGGCTGTCCGATTGGCGTCGTCGAGATTCTAAGAACCAATAACTGGAAACAAGGGAAGATATAGCTTAAAACTGTTCTCACTGGCGTAAATGCATTCACTATTTCTAATCTCCCAGATCCACCAAATCCTCATGTTCTTCCATGTTACTACTCTCTTACCCTCACGTTTCTGTTCATTATAGTTCTCTGTCGTGTACACCTTTGCGTGGTTCATACAGTGTGATTACTTGAACTGCTGCCATTCTGTCAATCAGAGGATTACACATCATCATCAAGAGCAATAAATATTTGCGCAAAAATACCTACCTTATCATCAGCCCAAAGGATGAATTCACTACGCCATTTGATAGTTCTTACACAACCATTGACGTTAGCAAGTTCTTCATGTTTCGATTTAGTAAAGACACCTTTTGAAAGGAGACATATCTGAAAGAGTAGAATGTTTTAAAAAAATGGGCTAAATGAAATAACTAAGTTTAATAAGCATATCAAAAATGTATAAATCATTTGAAAGAAATCATTTCTGTCTGACATATACAGGAAGGAAGCAAAGAAAAAACTGAAGAGAGAGAGTAGAATTGAGCAAATTCTTGCATTTTTGCCAAAAATACTGGAAGCTTAGATTTTATGTATACATGGAACTGTAATATATGATTTCATTATGAGCTAATACCATCCAACAAAATCCAGAAACAACAACAGTCAGCATACATGGTAGAAGTCTGAAAGAAGCAACCTCCTTCACCTATCTACCTGGGAAGCATCGTCTCAACTACAGACGGACAGAACTGACGAGGATATCAAAGCGAGGATCGGAAAAGCAAGACAAGCTTTCATTAATTTTAACTCTGTGTGGAGATCAGCAGTACTCAGCATGAGAAACTAGATCCGGGTTTTTAACTCCAATATGAAGTCAGTGCTAGTATACGGATGAGAGACTTGGCACCGCGTCACGAAGGACACTTCGAACAAACTACAGACCTTCATCAACAGTTATCTTCACTTTTTGTTTATTTTATTTTTAATATGGCTTGATTTCACACAGTATTTTTGGTACAACTATGAAATTTTCAGCATGTGATACCGGTAGCCCAAATTTAGCAGGCCAACCATTGATATCAAGGCGTACGTCGGCTGGGGATCGAACCTCGCAGCATGTGCATGGTCGGCGAGCGTCCTAACCGCTGTGCCACAGACGCACCAGTACTCAAGATCAGATGGCCAGAAAAGATCAGCAATAGGGATCTCTGGTAACGAACCAACCACAAACCATCAAGTGACATCAAACGCCAGGCCATCCCTCGGGTGTAACCCGAATGAGAAGCGGCGAGTTGGTCGTCAGTGTGAAGGTGACATGGAGGAGGTCATGCGAAGAGGAGATGAAAGCATGTGGGCAGACGTGGAGCCAGGTGAAAGCATTGGCGGAGAACCGAACGCAATAGAGACGTACGGCTGAAGTCCTATGTTCCTCTAAGAACTAAAGGAAACAATAATAATAAAATAATATCATCCAGAAGAATTATTGAATTCCAAACAATTGATCACTGTCTCATTCTACATTCAGACTATTTTAGTTATGTACAACAATTACTCCACGAGGAATGGATCTCGATACTTTCAAGACAAAAGACAAGCATGGTAAAGTACAGTGAATGAATTGGAATCTTAGTGAATTTGGATTTCTAGTCCCCGTATATATGTACCACATAATACCGCTGCTATCCAATGACTTCTCTAAATATCTCTCCTTAAAAAGCATCTAGGTGGACCAGTTGTATTTTTTCATTAGAACTACAGAAAATCCATTTGAAGTGGTTTCAAGTAATAATTATGGCGAGGAGAGTAAAGACTAATGCTAAAATTGTTGGTACTCGCAAATCTCGTAGATCGTAGGTGACTAAATGATGTAATAATGCTTTGCAATCGTTTCCATAATAAATTCGAAGTAACCGCTACTCTATTAAGCCTCCAACTAACATTTTTAATGTTTCATAACACCATATATTGATTTGACAATAATATAACCTCATTTCACTTAACTTTATACATGCCTTAAGAATTCGATGTTTTACACATCGCAGAAGTAATCAGAATTCCTTTGACGAATAAGCTAAATATGTAAACAACTTGTGACAAACTTGAGCAACCACTTCTATTTACATTATGGATTATTTGCATAACATAATTTAGCATTGGACTATGCGGAAAATTTATGCCCAGTGTCACGTAAACTCGAAGATCTATAGGCGGTAACCAGTAAGTTGGAAGAAGAAGAAGAAGCAGGAGCAAATACAGGATTTAAAGTAAACATAGGGAAGATTGAGGTGGTGAAAGTAATCAACCAACGACAACAACAAATACCGATCACTATCAACAGGAGAAATTTGAAAGAGGTCACTTCTTTCACTTATGTAAGCAGTACCATCTGAACTATGGGCGACAGAATGGATGAAGATGTCAAAATGCGAATCGCAAACGCAAGACAGACCTTCTTCACTCAAAAATCAGTTTAGAGGTCTTCTGTGCCGGATTATCAACACCAATGTTAAGTCAGTCATCGCCCCCATATGGGTCAGGCCATAGACTTTTATCTTTTTATTTCTTTTTTGATTACAGCTTGATTCCACACTGTATTTTTGGTACAGGTACGGAATTTTCAGCATGTGATATCGGTAGTCCAAATTTTGCAGGCCTACCATTGATATCAGGTGTGCATCGGCAGGGGATCGAACCTCAGACTACGTGCATGGTTGGAGACAGTCGTAACGTCTGTGCCACCGACAACAGCTGTCTCCGCTGGCTCCATACTGAAGATCAGCTGGTCAGGCTGTTGGGAGACACTAAGCGCCAGGCCATTGCTCTAGTGGAACGTGAATGGAATACGACAAGTTAAGCGTGGATCCAAGGGTGGCAAGGAGGAGATAGTATGAGAAGGAAATGAAACCTTGTGGATAATTGTGGGGTCAGATGAAGAAGACTTCAGAGAACAAGACAAAATGGAGATGTATTGTTTAAACTCTATGTTCCACTCGATACCAAAGGGAATGATAAAAGTATTTGAGTGTGTACAGAATATGTTGAAATGATCACTTCTTCTATCAACCCTACGAGATATTATTACTATCAGCACTTTGATTACGGTTTTAGGTAGTTCACCTAACTTCACCATACCTGGTTGATCTCAAGTAATTACTGATTAAAAATTTAATTTCAAACTGATATCAGTTAGAGAACTGTTGAAAACCAGGGAGTACTGAACGGATGTTTCGTCCTAACCTGGGGCTTCTCATCAGTACGTACGTACAACACCATCAAGGATCCAAAGTAAAACCTTCAGGTTATAAGTTGAACTCGTTGACCGTTCCAGCTAATAGGACGGAATTCAATGGCCTGTCGATTGTAAGTTCTGACAATTCTCGAGAGAGAGCGCGCGACCACTAGTGTCAATATCAAGCTGTCCAGTACTCCCTGGTTTTTACTAGTTCTCTAACTGAAGTCAATTTTATGATCAGACTTGTAGTCAATCAAAACCCTACAAGCCAACACTTGATAATCACTGATCCTTAAAACATTTTAATAAATCTATGTATTCATTCATATTTTTATAAATGCTGATAAGCTATTCAAAAACATAAGATTATATGATTGAACGAGAATTTGGACATATATTTATTCCAACGTGTATTCAAATGGCTTAGGGATATGTTTTGTTGGTTATGTTATACGTGTTGTTAATACCCAAAAATCTAAATGTATAATTATAGCAGAAAATTTTATCCTTTAATTACTATCTTGTAACTCACAATTAACTTTCATTTCTAACATACACGTTAATATTTGTAACTAATTATTAGGTAACAAATTACTAACTTATTACCATAATTTTGTTATACATATAATTTGGAGAGCTATAAATACGTCAGAACAGGATCACAAATGAGAAATTGACTATAGATGCTAACATATGGCAGCCTGCTTCAACTTGAGATTACTAATATTTTCAAATTACTCTTTTGGTTCTTATATTAATCAAGCAAAGATATCCTTGAAGCGTATTATTTTTTCATTTGTGTGTTTCTCCATAAATTTGGAAACAAATAACATAAAACTTTGATTGGACACTACGTATTAACTAATGCCACGGGTCTAGTCCTTGGTTTGGTGAAAACTGAATTCTACCAGTCAAGTTTGCAAAGTGACCAGCAGTACTAGATGGTCGTATTCTTACAAATTCAGTTCTTCGGGGACAACATCAGCAAGGTACTAACACAACGTCTTAGAAATGCGGTAAAAAAAGCATTTCCTGCTGCTGAATTACGCTGCGTCTTCAAAACCACTCCTCTTTTGCGTTTCGAAGTAAAAGATAAACTGCCTAATTTCACCTATTCATTCTATGTGTATCTACCAATTTAACTGCTCCTGTGGAGCCAGTTAGTCGCAGAAGCAGTACAATTAGGCGTGTTTCTCGTCGGATTTCCGAACATCACCCTGCGTGGTTAAGTAAAGGACAAACAAAATCTATTCGTAGCGCTATTCTATCTCATCTTGTGGATACAGAACACAAGATTGATGTTAACCAGGCTTCTGAGGGTTTTCCAGCTCCACTACGTAGATCGACTGAGACAACGTTCAAATATTAGACATAGGAAACAACAAGAATGCTAGAAAATTTTTAGAAGCCTGGTATTCCAGTGAATCGTCAATCAATACACACCTCGAGATAGACAAAATCTACCAACTGATAAGACGGAAATCTCACACACAAAGGGTCAAAGTTCAAGTCAAAGAAACAATCAGTTCCAATACAAGTAGCCTACAGAGTGTGGAAACACACAAAAACAACCAATCACGTTCAAGGTCACCAGGAGAGATAACTATTAAAAAAACTCGTGGAGAAATCTAAAAGCTCACTTCAAATTGAAGTATGCACTGAAGATGTTGCCCAGTAGGGCAATGAAATCTTCGCAAATTAACTATCCAGCTCAGAGAACAAAACCACATCAGAATCATCCACCTGAGCTACAAATCTTCTCCATCATATCTAGATCTGTATGTCCACCAGTCCGGTTAGAAGCTCCACACTTTCGCATTTACCCTTTCACTTTTGTGAGAAACACTCCCGCCACATGGAGGCTGTGAATAAGGCTTACCTGAGAGAGGCTGTGAACGCGTGACCACCACATGAGAGCCTGTATGGGGGAAGACCGAAGTCTATCCACCCTCGACCGTACCAAATCGTTTATGAGGAAATACGAGTATATATTGCCAATTAGAATCATTAGTCTCAGTAGTCAACCGGCATACACAAAAAGATCCTTTCTTTGTCCTTTCTTAAGTAAAAAGTCTACATATGCTACCTCTCCTGGACATTTCAGCCTTTGTTTCAGTTACAATTATAATAAAGAAGTTGGTATTTTAAAAATAATAAAGAAATTAAAACCAGACTGATTATATAAATAAATACACGTCAACAGCATACCTTTTTGAAACCAACGGCAACATTACGGGATTTTTCAAAATCAGGAGCAAGAGCAACCGCTTTAAGAGCATGATCGAAATTAACAACTTGATTAGATTCTGACGATGATAAATTGTATATAACTAACTAAAATTAAAAAAAAATAGGAAGAAAAAAATGAATTAATTAAAAAGTAGCTCAATGGGAATTGGATGAAATATTGGCACAAATGTGATTAAATACTGACGAGATTAGCTTTGGTGACCTCAGAATGATAAACTGAAACTCATGTAGTGGGAAATGAGGCCTGGAATTCGAAAATTACTGCAATTCAAGTTCTTATTTCAACTCTTAAAATTCTGTCTTTAAGAATCAAACCTTATTACTATAATTAAGAAGAAGAAGAATCAAACCACAGGCTATCGACTAAAGGGTGCGTGTTATGCACAGCATTTCGCTTCATCCTCATTTATGACTATGAGCGATCAATGGCCATTGAAAGTGGAAGACATGAAAAGGCCGGCTAGCTGTCTTTGATCATATGTGCCTGCGTTCTATCTCCCATGTAAGGTGGTATAATAACGGTGAATAATATTGAGGCTAGGTGTCGAGTACTAGGTGAGGAGGGGAAAACAATCAATGAGGTTGTGAAGTTACATCGGCTGAGATGGTTGGGACGTGTTACGCATGCCTAGCCTAGCCATCGCTTTCCTCGACGGACACTATTAGCTGACATAGGATCAGGTTGGAAAAGATTCAGTGGTGGTCAAACCAAAACATGGCCTCATCAGCCAATCAGATCCACAACAGTGAGTTTAAGCCAGCCAGGCACATAGGGAGGTGTAGGCTTCCTGGTTGGGGTACTCGGAATGGAAAAAACCAATGAAGGCTTAAGTCAATTAGTGATATGGCTCAAAATCGTTCCAGATGATGGCGCAGATGCATTCACTCTTTGTGATTGATTTATCATATTCAATATAACTGTTGTTTTTCCATGTTACTGTTTTTTCACCCTCACACTTCTGCTTATCACCGTTCTTTAGAATCTCTTTTTTTCTCTTTTGTTTTCCTTTGTGTGGCAATTCAAACTACTGTACTTCCGTGCAATTTTCAGTCATCAACAGACCATGAATAAACAACAAAGTAACACAATAAAAGTAGGAATCAACCAAATCAAAAGGAGATATACAAATGCTATATAGATTATATGTGTCCAGGGAAAACGATAATAGTTACAAAATTAACTGGAATATTCAGGTAATTACCAATACTATAAATACATTGTTCATGGAGGGATTTTTCAGATCAATTATTCTGATATAAAAGGTCAAAACTAAAAGGGTACTAAAGTTTACAATTCCAATAAAAGGTGAAAAGCTAAAAGGGCATTTTCTAAAAATGAAGTATGTCATTCATTGAATTTTATTGAAAAACTATAACGTGATACTCTGGAATTGATTCATTTCTGAGTAGTTCTCTTCATGAGTCAACATCAACTACACAAACACTGAAAACAACCAATGACCAATGAATGAATAAACCCCCCACAATTCAGAGTAATTCATCTAAGGTTGATGATATCTTCATGTTAAATCGAATCAAAAACCGTAAGTTCTTGCGGAGAACTGCGAAGAATTTCAAAGGCGTTGATCCTTCAATTTGTACCGATTCATGATAGCTCATGACTATCACCTCATATTATCCATGATTAAATGTGAGTAAACTTCAAATACCATAGCTGCATATCATCCATGGGCAATAATGTTAATAGATTCGCTTCAATATCTGAATGCTCAGGAATGAATTCTTTATGCGCATTCTTAAACTAAGACGGAACTTTTTAACTAGTATTCTCCAGGAATTATTCTCTGATTTCTTCCAATATGACACTGATTTGTAACAATGATAACTTTTGAAATTATTCAATAGATTTAAACAGTATTCTCTACTTACACGTCCATCATCTCCACAACTTGCAATGTAATAACCTTGTTCCGATATACTGATATGATTAACAGATGTACTATGCTAAAAAAAAAGTGAAACAAAAAAAATACAGATCGTGTTATTATAAATACAGTGAGTAGTAAAAACAAGAATAATCCTTGATCAACGGTTTGGTGGCAGAATGCTTGCCAGCCACACCTTAAGAGGTTCACAGTTCGATTCCAAACCGATACACTTCTAAACCTACCAAAGAGAGAAGATTAGGCGTTAGGCTAGCAATCCCACCTCATGAAATAGACACCAATGCTACTGAAACTTCAAAGTCCAAAGCTTGAAGCCGTATGTGTTCCACTCGAAAGGCGAATGAATGAAACAAAAATCTCAGATCAATAAAAGATAAACATTGTTCACTGTAAAATTGTTTCTTAATATACAAAATTAATAAAAGTAGCAGCATAATGAGTAAATTTGAACATGAATTAACCTGGTTTTTTTTATATTTTAAATTGAAAGCTTTCATTAACACAATATTATTAATATTCCCTTGGGTTCCGAGTGGAATATATGGCCTCAACAGCGCGTTCCCCATTCCACCCTTATCCTCTGCAGGTGATCCTATGATTGCGCATAGGTTCTCACCCCCTTCTCATACGATCCCCTCCATATCATCCTCGGGGCCATCCCCGACTCGGGTTCCACTCGAGCGATGCTGTAGCACGCGATATCACTCAACGGCGACCTCAGTGTGTGTCCGATCCATCTCCATTTTCTTCACCAATTCTGGTTGGTTCGTCTCCAAAGTTTCTTGTTGCTAATCATTTCTGGCCACCTGGCATCGAGTATGAGGCGAAGACAGATGTTGGTAAAAGTCTGCAGAATTTACATAATATAATCAAGTCTTACTTTGTTTTCTGTCATCTTTTCTCAGGTGAACTATTACACCGGAGTGTTACCGTATTGAAGGATAATCCAAATTGACTAGAATGCGCCTTCACGGTACGATACGACACTATAACCAATCGATCACTTGAAAATATCTCCCACACTAAAACAGACACAAAAGTCAGACTGGGGAAAACCGACAACCGAGATGAAAACAACCACAACAGCGATAACACTCACTAGACAAAGTCCCAGAAATTTAAACCCCAGATAAACAGATAAATTTGATTGATTGTCTGACATTGAAATCTCCTCAGAAAATCAAGCCACAAATAAACGAATCAACACAGTCCAATCAGGTTATCATGTCAGTACATGTATACATAAATCACGACTTCAAGCCTACCAAAGAATCTTGTCCATCCTAACACAAACATAATATGTGATCGTTAGAAGACAATTATTAGTCTAAGTGCTTTGTAATTCCCTGGGGTCGTGGTTGTCATGAGTGAGCTGTGCTGAAGAGTCCCAAACCGGGACGAAACAGCCATTCATGATTTTCAGTAATTCGCTAACTGATGTCGACTTCTGACCAATCCTATGTCAGAATTAATCCAAATGCCTAGAAAATCCATGTTCTAAATAAGTACAGCTTACATTCAAGTAATCCAATGAAATTAACAGAAAACTGTTTTGAATGAATGACTGGTTTTTGTCGTATAAACAAAGGGTGACAAATATTAAATAGTCAGTCTGTGTATTCACAGTTAATTGATTACACAAAAATTTCAAAATATTTCATATTAATAGTCTACAAAATATTGATTTTTATCTCGAATTAATCAATGATTAAAGTTATATGACAGATGTATTATTAGTTCAGTTCACTTAAGAGACAGTTTTGTAATCTATACCTACCTATTAATAAAAACTCAAATTTTCTATAAATAAATAATTATATGAATCTCATTTAAGTCTCATTACATGCATATTTCCTAGAACGATACTTAACAAAACTAAAGAATCAACATTTAATGACAAGAATTGGTCTAATTCAAAACAAAAAGGAACAATTTTAGATGGTGGGAGGCAATCGGCAGGAAGCCTTATATCACCTAGGTCTCATGCTTCTTGGCACTCACCAGTCAGCAAGGAGTATCTTCAGTCTTGAAGAAACTCATGCCCTTTCTAGGAATCTAACCAGCGCCACGCAGTGGGTGCTAGCAGTCACTAGGCTATTCGGGCTCACGATTGACCACCTGTAGAACTGTAATGGGTACTTTGATTTCAATGAAGAAAACATGGACATGGTCTGGGGTTCGATTCCCGGCCGACGCACACCCGATATCAATGGTCGACTTGCAAAATTTGAGCTACCGGTATCACATGCTGAAAATTTCATACTTGTATCAAAAATACTATATGGAGTCAAGCTATAATAAAATAAATAAAAATAAATAAACATAATGCTACAATATGCGTGCACACCAAGCCGATAGATCAATGTAGGAAATCTTACATAGAAAGTTTTAATGCTTTAAAACAAAGTAAAAATTAAGTAATATCTGAAGAAAAATTGAGGAACAGTATATATCAACCATATTGCTTAATCAAAACACAAAACTGTCACGTTATGGGCACCAAGGAATGCGCCACATAAAATCTCATAGTTTATGCGAAGGCTGGGATACTACCCGGACTCCCACAGTGAAGCAATTATTGGTCCTAAGGGGTCAATCTTCATTAAACCTTTGAATTGAAGTCTGATTCACAAGATAGTGTGGAGCAGCATTCCGATAGTTTCTGGCGTCCAAAACAAATTCATATACCATTCGATCCTTTCGGATTCTAGAGCCTATGTACACCAAAGGATTGGAATTAGGGTTTTCCAGTTCTGCAAGGTAAAGCACCTTGTCCACGAGTCCGGCTGTAAGCTCCAGACGTTCAAATTCACTAGCTCCACTTTTGTCAGGAACACTTCCAGAGCGTGAAGGCAGTGAACAGAACCCCCCTCCCGGGAGTGGCTATGAAAGTGGTTGCATAAGCGCATTTCGATAGGAACACTGAATTCTACGCAGTTCATTTTCGGGAAGTATTTAGTAATGATACCCTTAGGTTTTGGAAGAAAAGCCTTAGCTGCATATACCAACATTGACCTACTTCAAATCATTTCCTCTTTCTAACCTCCTATTTCTGTTTAGAAGAAGTAAAGAAGCTGTAGTATGATAGCTACCGATTTGTATTCTGTCATATTTGATGTCTTATCAAGACAATGAGACACATGGTCTTTCCAACCCCACGTTGAAACTAATGATTTCTTTAGCATAAGTTAGTCTAGACTAGCTACACATCATTCTACAGAGATACATCATGAGTTGATTATCTTTGTGTTTCTTCCAACAACAATGGAAGTATCCAAACCAATATATTGAAAACACTAAATTCAAGCTACCAAAGTCAATGTCCTTAAATGATCGATACTTCGTGCCAATATAGGTTGCTTCACCTCAGAAATACTTAATTGATATCAAAAATGAATACAAATCAGCCTACAGGTAACAGTAATGATTAATCACAAAGAGTCATTGAATATTCTCACCTCAGAAGAGTTAAATTTTTTAAAATCACACTTAAAAATTACATGCACTAGTCATTTATAGATACTGCTATCATATTGAAGTACTTTTGAACGCAAGGTATCAACTATTGATATTTCCTACAGAATCCTAAACTTCAACAGATTTATTCAAAATCTAACAAGACAGTAATACTTAACAATACTAGTATTACAAAATAAATTTAATATAGAAAAATCTTCATTTAGTCATTTAGCAGAGAAGATAGTGAAATATAGCGTCAAAGATGCATTTGAATTCGTAGACAAAATAAAAGATATTAATATCAAGGACAAAACCATGATATCTCTGGACATAACATCCTTATTCACAAATGTACGTACCTCTAGTAGAAACAGTTAATTATATAAGTGAACAAGTGGATAAGCAGTCGATAAACAATGGAATCCATATTGAAATCCTAAAAGAATTGATATTAAGATGTACCATGAATGTAAACTTCAAATTTGACGGCACGCTTTACAAGCAAGTGGACGGGGTGGCGATGGGCTCCCTATTGGGTCCCATTCTGGCTGATTTCTTTCTAAGTAAGCTAGAAAATGGACCTTTGGACAACCTTATCAGTAAGTTCTCGTTTTATTGCCGGTACAGAGATGACACCTTCATTCTTTGTGATAATGATTCGGATAGGAGTACAATAATTACTGAATTCAATGAAGTACGTTCGGCTATGAAATTCACATGCGAAGAGGAATCCCAAGACAGAATTGCCTTCCTGGATGTCCTACTTACAAGAAAACCAGATGGTAGCATGAAAAGAATTTTGCACAGAAAAAGCACTTGGACAGGAAAATATACACATTTTCACAGCTTCGTTCCTCTCAAATACAAAAGAAATGTAGTGAAGAGCCTCAGCCACAGAGTTAGAGCTATATGCTCAGAAGTAATTGAAGATGAATTAAGCATTGTATATGATACTTTGATCGAAAATAGCTATCCCGAAAAATTTATCAAGAAACACATGACAAAGAAAGAGGAAAAGGACTACTCACTGTCTATAAATGAGAAGCCTTTATATATACGACCTAGCGAGATAATTACGAAGAAATTAAGAAAATCGGTTCAAAGAACTTTTAATGCCGGCGAACTACACGTATTATTCTCTACACGACCGATAGTGACTCCTACACTGAAAGATGAAGTACCTAGACTAGTCACTTCAAATTGTATCTATCAATTCAACTGCGCTTGTGGAGCGAGTTATATTGGCCGTTGCTCTAGGAACTTGATTTTTCGTGCTCGAGAACATATCCCACCATGGCTAAGTAAAGGTGTAGTTAAAACTATAAACAGCTCGATATTAGACCATCTGGTGCAAACCGGTCACAAAGCCAGCGTAGAATAATCCTTCTCTATAATATACCGGGTGCCTAACAAATTACCTAAATCATCGAAGCACCGCATGCTCCAAACAGCAGAGGCTATTTCAATTCACCTCAAACAACCAGTGCTCTGTGTTCAAAAGAAACAAGTCCAGCCCCTGCTACTGCCCTGGACTTCAGTAGAGACTATAAATTCATGAATTTGTAATATTATCTTTCCTAATTTTTCTCACATTTAGCTTATTTTATGTTGATGCCATTGAACTGTAATCTACTGATATTATTATTGATTCGATGTTATTTAAACATTAATGTTGTTCATAACACTAATTCATTCATTCACTATATATATATATATATATATATATATATATATATATATAACTCTAGAGCCTGATGATGAAGTTATCGAAAAGAGTACTCTTTGTTCAGTATCCACTCTTTTGAAAATTTTAATGGGCATTTTTAATCAGTTAAAAACGACTTAATTAAGATATAAATGAATGTTCGAAATGGTTACGTAATGAGCGAATTAAAGATAAAGTAGTCAGAATAGTAAGTAAAATTGTAATTTCTGAAAGGCTCGGGAGGTGGCAGGGAATCGTCACTTTTTACAATTACACAATGATGATCAAGGTTAGGAAAGTGACTATACGAATTTCTTCTGAATACATAAGTTTGGCCTCTTCAGGTGGATTCTGATGGCTTCAGCTGTATGTAGAAGACGAACTCGTAAAGCAAAATTTGATATTGGTCGGAATGCGATAAATAACTTTAAATGTTTTGTGAATATCAACTGTATGCTCACTGTCTACAAGGTGTGTTAAAACAGATATACAAACAGATCTTGTTTTGTCCTTTGCTTAAATATGAAGGAAGATGTTTGGAAATATGATGATAACCCTGCCTAACTGTATCCAGGAGCAGTCAAATTAGTAGATACACATTATTAATAGTATCCCTTTGGCTTCCGAGTGGAACATACTGCTTCAACAACAGATCTCCATTTTGTTTTGTTTTCTATTGTCTTCTTCATTTGGGTCCACGATTGCCCATAATTTTTCATCTCCTCCTCCTCGCCGCACGAACTCCTCCATGTCACCCTCGCACCAATAACCCACTCGTCGCTTCCCACTGGAATTCCACACGAGCGATGTCCTGCATTGTAGCGATGTCATTCGACGGCTTCTTCAACGTATGCCCGATCCATCTTCATTTTCTCATACACATTTTTTGACCAATCAGTTCTTGGTTGGTTTGTTCCCATAGTTTCTTTTTACTAATTCTTTCTGGTCGGTTGGCCATTTGATCTTCAGTGTGGATACAGCGAAGTGAGCATCTGTTGATAAAAGTCTGCAACAGGCTGTTGGAAATCCTTTTCGTGACACGCAGTGGAAGTTTGTGACCCATATAGAAGCACTAACTGACTGACTTCACATTTGTGTTGAAAATCCGAATCTCGTTTTTTATACTGAGTGCAGTGCAGAAGATTTCCAAACTGATTTCAGGTTGATGAAGGGGTATCTCGCCTCTCTGATTCTGGCCTGCTTTGACATCTTCATCCGTTCCGACTACCGGTGGCTGAAACGATGCTTCCTAGCCGAATAAGTGAAGGAAGTAACCTCTGTTACACCTCACCCTTTGATAGTGATTGGTGCTGGTTTTTGTTGTCATTGTTGGTTGATTATCTTCATCACCTCCATCTTCTCTATATTCGGAGGTGAAAAGACAGTTTACTTTTGCGGCATTGAATGTTCCTTTCACTGCATTCTTCAGGTGCTGTGTTACTATTTCGTTCATGTTGTTACTAAGATACTGGTGTTTTTATGAACAATGGCTTCTTTGGAGCTGTTGCCATACTTAGCGCTTGCCTTAGCGCTAAATTCATATTTTTATCATTGAACTTGTCTGGATAACCATTTTTACTGAAATGAAAATAAAGTGTTAATCAACTTAGTTCAACATTGCAATAGCGCTTAAAAAAAAGATTTAGATGTATTCGAAAAAGAAGAGAATGGGAAAATGCAAGGTGTATAAGTTACAGTTCAAGACCGTAAAATAAAAAACGGTGAAGGAAACTGTCAATGACTCATTTTGACATGAACTATAGATTTCCTCGTCTAAAACTTCATTAGATTATACTGTAGTCTTAAGTAGTTATCTAATTTCATCAGCATTTGGCAGTGTGAGGGATAGTGATACTGTCTGAACTTTAGTAGGTGAAGAAGGATTCAAACAGGTGACCCAATGGTTGGAAGTCCAGCCCCTAGACCAATGAGCCACAGCTATTAAACATTAAAAACAATATCATAACTACGATATTCCTACACAATTCAATTTTAAAACTATTAACAAATTTACGTATTTGAATCTCATTCAGAAATTCAGTTTACGCCAATTAGTAGATAGATCTTATCCATTATGTCAAGTAGAAATCGAACTACCACCCCAATGTTGCTTGTTGGGTGTGACTATTAATGGAATCAAGGATGTAGATTTCGTCCTATTTGGGACTCATCATCTGGATATAGTTGCATTCTTAGCAAATGCTTGCAATAACGTGAGACTTTCTAGATGGCTAGTTATTAGATCCCAGTCTTTATGAAAGTGGAGACTTCACTTTTAACCAGCAGAAACTCAGGCACGAATCTATATCCACTTAAATTAGCTTAAGGAACTCAGTAGTATCATGAATCCTGACAAAAGTGAGTGTCTGAATGAATATTTTTGCAATAAAAATGAGTGTGGCTTATAGCTTGGCACTTCCGAATAAATGACTTCCAACTAAAGGCAACGAAAGTTCTGTGTGCACATGCATCAGTTGTTGTCAACTTATGCGACAATCAATAAACTATTGCTTTGTACATTCTGTGTTAGGATGGATAAGCTTCTTTGTTAGTCGTGTAGTCATGATTTATAGCCGAATGTTCTGATTTCATACAACCAATCAGATTTTTTCTCATTTATGGCTTAAATCCCTGAGGTTTTATAAATATAAGATACCATGTATTTTGTGTAATAAAGGTCATCGTTTTTTCCCAGTCTGACTTTAGCGTCTATCTCACTGTGGGAGATAAATTCAAGTGATCAGTTGGTCATAGTGTCGCCTTCTTCTCTAGTTAAATGAAACCAGAAACCACTATCAACCCTGTCATAACATTCTAATTATTTGTTTGACTCCTCCAATGGAATCATCAGTTAAAATTTAACTGTATAAAAGGTATGTATTAGCACTGGTTAATCAGAAAGATGACTTACCACACTATGTATTCCATTTTCAACTGGAAAACCACTATGATCTAGGAGATGTACGCGTCCCCATTCAGTTCCAACTGCAATAAACTACAAGAAAAATAGAGAAGATTTGTAGCTCAGGTGGATGATTTGTAATTAACAAACATGTTAGTTAATATAGACCAAATATACCAACTAATAAAAAGTTGATCATGTGACCATAAAGTTTAAAATCCAAGTCAATAGAAAATGATCAATACAACTGTAAAGATGGTTGGTCACCAGGAGACGCAATTCTATCGCTCGTGAAAAATTTAAATCAGTTCACTTTATGCTAAAAATTGCGCTGAAGATGTCGTCCAGAAGGAAGACGAAAGCTCCGCAACTAAACCAACCAGCTCAGAGAACACTACTAATTGCAAAATTACAAAAAAATACACTCAAAAAGTGACTAAGTAATTATGATCACAGCTACTTAAGAAATAAGACCTTCTTATTAACTTTAGTAATCAAAACCATAAATAAAGACGTATAGTATGTCAGTTGAGCCAACCAACATAAAAAGTAGAACACATTTAAGCGTTTGATTAATTTTACTTCTTAATGAGGATACTTTTACCGTGTGCGTGTTTGTGCGAATATCACGACACGCGTGAACTAGATTATATAATGTCAGTCAGGCAAAAAGTAGTATTATTGCACAAGGCCATGACGAGAAGTATTAGAACTACTCTACTACTATAAATAAGAATTAAACACGGTACTTTTTCATAGCAGCAGTCACTGATAACTCCGTCTTACATGAATATATGTGTATGCATTTAACGGAAGTGAGTGTTTGGCATGCGATTTGTTCCTAGCTAATGTAAGATGATGCTATAGGACTGGACTATATCGACTCCTAGCTTAAAGACAGGGAGTGAAATGGTAGACAGTATTGACCACTTCACTTATCTGGAGAGTTGCATCAGCCCCAGAGGGGTGAAAGCTAACGAAATACCACCATGGATACAGAAGGCTCGAGTGGCATTTGTCAACTTACTCCATCTCTGGCTTAATAGACGTGATATCCGGCTATCAACCCAAAGACACGTGTACTGCACAGTAGCAGCTCGCTCCGTCCTGGCTGTGAATGAGACAAGGCCACTAAGGGTGGAAAACATGAAAGGCTAGCTGTCTTTCATCATAAGTGTCTGCATTCCATCTCCCATATGAAGTGGTATAATACGGTGAGCAATATTGAGGTTAGGCATCGATCGAGTGCTAGGTAAGGAGGGGAAATCAATAAATGAGGCTGTGAAGTTACATCGACTGAGGTGGTTAGGACATACCTAGTCTAACCATCGCCTTCCTCGACGGACAATGTTAGCTGACATAGGATGGATCAGGTTGGAAAAGAGCTAGTGGTGGTCGAACCAAAACGTTGCATCAGTCAATGAAATCTTTAACAGACAGTTCAAGCCATATAGGGAGATGCAGAATTCTTAGTTGGGGTCGTCCGGATTCTAAGAACCAGTGACTGGAGACATTTGGTGATATGGCTCAAAATCGGTGTCAATGGCACAGATGCATTCCCTCTTTGTAATTTGTCATACCCAATAAAACTCTATCGTTCCTCCATATTACTATTCTTTTTCCTTCAGATACGATATTTTCTATGAACATTCTAAATTGTTTTGTTCAGAATCATTTGTCCAGTGAAGTGCTTCGGTCGCACAGAGGTAGAACACTCGCCAACCACACCGCTTCACGTGGTTCAGAGATCGATCCCCGACGATGAACTCCTAAACCTCGCTTAGCCAGTAGTAAGTTGGGTAAAGAAGGAAGATTTGGTGTGAGGCTAGCAATCCCACTCTGTATAAAAACACCAGTGCCACTTAAACTTCAAAGCTCAAGGTAGGAAGTTCTATGTTCCCCTTAGAATGCAAAGGAATAAAGCAATAAAAACAAGTTAAGTCGAATGACTTTCGTACATATTCTCAATTTATTTCATATTCTTGGACAGATCTACACTTGTGGTATTTTGATCTTCCCTTCGAATACATAAATGACTATTTTATGTTAGTATATAACATCAAATGATGATAGTCGGTTCACAAAACCACATAAATGTATATATCCATAGTTAGGATTTCCCATAAATCAATTAATAAGTCCTTCTGCTCAAACTTTTTTATACTTAGCCTTTACTTAGACCATTTAAGTGATCACAAGGTGTTTTCCTCGAAAGTTACAGATTTTTAGAAATGTACTAACTGCAGGATGCTTACTTTTTCGTGTACTGCAACACAACTGATGGAATCCATAGCGGTTATATCGCATAAACCATGCTTTAGTGGTTTGTATTTCAGACACGGTTCAACAGGTTCCCAATTTTTCTCTTCATCCAAATCTTCAGCCAACTCAGCAACTTCAAATACTGCCGGCATCTGTATGAATTAGTATAAAGTGAATTAGAAAACAAAATCATCTACATAGAAAACTATGTCAAAATCTTAGAAGCTGACTACTGTCCTGCAGAAATGAGCAATACGATATTAAAAGCTTTCCGTTTAGTCTCCAGAAAACTACTGTAAATATTTTATAATTTTGTAAAATAAATAATTCACCCTTAGGAACATATCACTGCTATCGACGTGAAACATTACTCAATCAAGTTTGATCATAGAATGATGTCATTTAGAGAACCATTGAAAATTAGGGAGTACTGGACAGTTGGTTCGTCCTATTTTGAGACTGACTCGCCAGAGATACGCACCCACGACTCCACCGGGAACCGAAGCCAGGACCTTCAGGTTAACAGGCGAGCCCATTGACCAATAGTCAGTGAATTCTGACTCCTGTCAATCCGTGATTTTAAAGCAACCACCAGCCATTGTCGTCGGCGAAAGTACTAGGTTTGATACTCGGTTGGGTCGCGGATGCGTACTGATGAATATTTCCAGACTAGAACGAAACAGCTGTCCATTAATTCTTGGTTATTAATGATTCTCTAACTGACATAAATCCATGACCGAACCTGAAACATATCAAGTCCTTACATATCAAATCTTTACAAATTAAATCCACTACTGCGCCATTAGTATGCCGACGTATCACAAGTAGTTCAAATATCTCATTACAAACACCACGATATGCTTGCCTTTAAAATAAGAACGAGGATATTCAAAAAGGAAAACAAATCTATTCGTATGAAAAACAAATGCATCACAAAATTTGAAACAATAAAACAAGTTGAAAACAATAAAAATGCATTAGAACAATAGTCTAGAAAGGCAATTCATAAACAAACAAACAAAGAAAAAAGTAAAAATATTAAACAAAAAGGCAGTAATGTTATCTGTATCACATAAACTAGCAGCATTAAGCTTGGTTAACAATCTTTATCGGATTCGATTCTACAACATCACATAAGCGTTTTTCTTCTGGAAGAAATTCTGGTATCGTTAAACCATAACGAAGCGCCCTTTGTGTTCCTTCATCCAAATGCGATTCTAATTGATATTCAGCTACGTAGAGGCGTTTGTCAATTGACTGAGGTATTGGTTTAATATCAGTTTGTAACTGTGATTCAATAGCCTTCAACGAATATCTAGAAATAAAGAGTAGTTAGTCATGCAAGAAACATTTTACCTATCATCATAAGTAATTAGGTTGATTGCAATACCAAGATGACCAAAACGACCTGATCTTCCAATACGATGTAGGTAGGTTTCAGCATATTGAGGAAAATCAAAGTTGATGACTACATTTACAGGAGGGATATCAATACCTCGCGTAAAAAGATCTGTGCAAACAAGATTTCTACAATGACCTGCTCGAAAATCATGGAAAACACGATTGCGATAATGCTGAGGCATGCGTGCATGTATGTAGTAGCAGGAATAACCCAGTTCAGTTATCTTTTTTGCCAGTAGCTCTACACGCTGTGCAGTATTGCAGAATATTATTGCTTGATTAATTTGCAATCGTGAAAAAAGTGTATTCAGACAATGTACCTATAAAAAAAGTATTTTAAGATTTAAAAGCCTCAATTACCTTTTGTTTTTCTTGAACATATGCATAAAACTGAGTGATACCCTTGAGTGTTAACTCATCCATTAAGTTAATCTCATACGGCGAATGCAAATGCTTCTTCATAAATGACTGTACTGATATGGGGAATGTAGCCGAAAATAGCATGATTTGTCGATCTGTGGGTAGCTTACATATAACATCATCTATTAGATCCTACAACATATAAGTCATACGAAAATCATACTTACAATAAATCCTAAGGATAATAATTTATCAGCTTCGTCTAGAACAAGCACACTGCATTTATCTGTTTTGATAAGCGATCTCTTCAGAAAGTCTAAAGTTCTTCCAGGAGTGGCGATAAGTACATGAACCACTTTGTCAAGTCGAATTAGATCCTCCACTAAATTAGTTCCTCCTGTAGACACCATAACTTCAATATTCAAATATTTTGAAATCTCTTTAGTAATTTGACTTGTTTGAAGAGCAAGTTCACGAGTTGGAACTAATATAAGCGCCTGAAGAGATCCAACTGACGCATCTATCTTCTCCAATAGTGGTATGACATAAGCACCTGTCTTTCCTGTTCCATTTTTCGCTCTAGCTAGTATGTCTCGACCGGTCAAAGCAATAGGAATGCTGGATTCCTGTATAGGAGATGGTGACTCCCAACCCTTTTCATATATACCCTTCAGCAAATCACGCTTGAGACAAAAATCCTCGAACGTGTTTCCCTTCTCAGACAAAACATCGATGGTTTTAATTCTGTTGTCTTTAGGTGGTAATTTTAAAGAAGTTTTCCAGTCCTCCATTGGAAACACCTGAAAAATAAGAATAACAGAATTTTAGTGAAAATAGGACAAACAGACTTGCAAGTAAAATGTATGGTATTCACACATACACAACTACACTTTACTACGTATCCTGGGAAAATAGTTATACAATGACGCTGAAACAATCTTTTAACAGAGTCTAAGCAACAGGAAATGACATCAACAAGTAGAATCAAGTCTAGCGTTTTTGGCTATTCTACTTACATTACTGTGACTAGTTATTTTTGTACAAACTGATTGAGACTGAGTTACACTCACATAACGGATTCACCAATTTTAACCATTCGTTAGATTTCGTGAATTGTTTTCGAGTGTCAATGCAAGAGTTTGCAATAATTACTAGTAAATATAAAACTATTCACTACCCTTACGAGAAAAAAAAAAGTCTTCTGCCTTTACACAACCGTGAGTTACACCTATTCAGGTGAATTTGAAAGTTATGCAAGACGCTACAAAAACAGCAGACAAAGACCCAGAACTTCCTGAGGGGCATGATAAAACAGATTACTCAACGAGGGAGATAAAAAGGACTAGCGACGCCATTTAATGACTTGACTACCCCTGATTCTTTTCCAATCTAACCCCATGTTAATATATGTGTACAACTTTGGCACTCTGGTAGTATGTAATTCCATATTAATTTGTTTATTAGCTGTATCACGCAGTGAAACAGTATTATCTACTGGATGATGTTCCGAACACAATTTATTGTTCATAATCATATCAATTACAAGCACATGAGGTATAACCACATGTTGGCTAACATTGCTGACATCAAACGAACACAGCTTCTGTTATCAGGTGAACAGATACGTCAACTAACTGCTAAAGAATACTAACATTTTCGGGTCGACTAAGTTAGATTTTTAGCGTTTTGAACAGCTGCTGTTATAATTTTGTAAAAAATAGCACTATTATTAGCTGTTAAAAGAGACAAAGTTAGTAAAGACGAAATGTCACAATGTAGATGAACGTGAAGAATTAGCGAACGTATGGTGGTATGAAAGATCTAGAAGAATACTTTTTGTAACAGGTCTGTTCAATATAAGTTTAACAGAACAGTGCTGGGACTAACTGACGACTGAATGATCAGCTTAAGTTGCCATATAATGTACAAGCACACCTGCGAACAACTTTAAGCCAAGACCTGGTCAAGCAACTTACACCCACTTATGTAGTTCACGCAAGTAGACAGTAATTGCATAGATTTGTTCCATCCTGTTACCATTCCAACTTGAATGTACTGAAGCTACTATTGTTCATTGCTGAAGGTTCTAACCGCTCAAAAGAATGAAGACTCATGCCCTTATTGATTGGCTTATCATCCTCAAATGATAGCCATAAGCTCTTATCCTTTTCTCTTTTTGGCACTAAATATACGATGCGCCATGAAGGCTTATTTTACATTGAAATCAGTTTTCGGTGACATTATAGTACTATCAGTGTCATAAAGACCGTACACAGCTTTAGTGGTAATAGTTCCAATCTGCTCCTATTACATTGGTTTACAAATAGAGAGCCAGTAGCTGTTCAACCAATGCATCTCACCGCTAACATTCAATGAGAATATTGTGTACGAAATCCCATGATCAGCCTTTATTCTTAACAAAATACTGATGTCATCCAGAACTTATGTGTTACTTCCTCACTCTTATAGTGCTTTTGGTGGGATTGGATGCAAACAACAAAGGAATAAGCAGTCTTATAAAACTTTCTGAACGGACTAAGCGGAAATAAATAAAAAATTGAACATCTCCATGGTATAGACACAAAAAGGCATTTGGTATTTGTAAACTTTCATCTTTATCGTCTACGTTTCCGTCCCTATGCAATCATATGATAGACATACACTGAAACAAAACAAAATACGAACTTCTGTATTTTAGAAGTTACAACTCTTTACATGCAAAGACCTAGCTGAAAATACATTTTTAAGTTGCAGTTAATCATTACAATAACAAGATCTTCCTCTTTAAATATCCACATTTATTCACAAAAAACGACTCGAACTAACAATTGCAAAAAAGTGAAGGCACTTGTTACTCTCTTTTCATGGGAAAATACATAGGTAGCTGCGGCCTGGCAAAGTGGCCAAATGCATAAAAACACATTTGGTATTACCCAGTTGTGAATATCCAGTAAAGGAAAACCAGGATTTAACTTTATCCCATAACCCAGAATAGTAACAGTCGAAAAAGTACAGTTAACTTGGTCCTACCTATCAGAAGCATTGTCAACGATGAGATAATCAAAATCTGGCACACAGATTGAGAAAAGCTGGTCATTTAATCTCCCGAAGTATAGAGAAGACGCGGACGAGTCGTAAACATCAATGCACGGTAAGAGAAGAAAATATAGTTTCTCCTCTTACAGCCACATCATCATATTTAGTTATAACTTCACTAATTTTGTGATTATTATCCCATGTAGATAACAATTCTAATTAGCACTAAGTAAAAATTTGAAAGAAATTTTTCGAAAATTTAATGCCCCAAATAAACAATTTGTGGGTAAGTGATGCATTTCCCCAATAATTAGGCACTGCGTTGCCCCAACATTTTTATCCGGGGCGTTTCCCAATAAATTTAAACAATTTAATGGGGTTATCTTCATTCTTATTTGAGTCTGTTTCCCAGAAATTTATCGTCTAAAAGTATCCCTTGTAACATTGTGATAGTGTGATATTATTTTTCCCCTTTAGATGCATAAACAGACTATTTCGAGAAAAAACAAGTAGACAGATTGCAAAGTTTTCAATAATGCCTGGATGGGGATTATACATGAATTAAAAAACAAGTATCCACCTTAGATACTAATCTTACTTCAACCGCCTTTTCCCAACACTTTCACCTTGACTCCAGTCATTTCCACAGGATTTGATGCAGTTAAACCACATTTCCACAGTTCGGAATCACTGTAGTAGGTGTTGTATCGGGTAAATATTTTGATTTCGAAACCTTTATAAAAGTTATCAACTGACATTTTACTGATTCTGACATGTGAAATGTGTATGAGATTGCTTTATGTTGGCATACAAACGTTAAGTATACATATAACTGATCTCACCTGGTGTCATATTATGCACTTCCGAACAAAATATATTTGTGTTCTCCAAATTATAACTATTCATAACCCTCATACTACCAAGTCTTTCAACAAATTATGCGGGAATCTGCAGTAGCTACTATTCAACTGAAGTAGGAATCATTAGGTCCTTATTGATGTTAAAATAAAATGTTCCCTAAATTTTCAATGGTGATTTGTCGTATTTCACTTCAGCTGTTTACACTAAATACTTCATTTTTAGGGTAATTCAAGCGTCCATGGAAGAATGGCAATTATCAACCTCCTCGACGGTTTACGATGCGATGCTGAATGTTGATTACTCGTTCGCCAGTTTACTAGCTAGTCTACAATCCGGAAACAGCAGGAAGGCTATGAGTTGGGCTAGAGACCGTAATTCTGTAGACTAACCTAATCGTCAGAAGAAAACTCCAATTAGCAGGAGGAATATGAAAAAACTATTCTTCGTTCGAATTGGAGAGATGAGACGACGCGAACTTGTGACAGCCTTCTAGAAGCCAATCAGCCGGTATGTCTTAGTTCTGTGAAGGCGAAAATAAACATATGGACACGAGATGCACATGATGTACGATGCTAAGAAGTCGGGTGAGGCTTTTTGGAGTCCAGTATACAACTAAGTGAATGAGAAAGTGCTAAACTTGGTGCGGAATCATGCTCCTTCCTAAGACAAGCACAGTATTGAGTTGCATCCTCCTTGAGAGACTAAAGGATGCTCTGGATGCAGGACACCGCCAAAATGAGATCGATTCAGGAAAAGTAAATAATGTCCTGATCAAACTGAAGTGTTATATATCATAACTGAACAGTGCATGCAATGGCAGTCAAATGTTCCGTTTCATGCTGATAGTTATGGTCAACCAATGAACAGCATGTATTTGGGTAAGTGCTATGTCTCCACGTTACTAAAAGCTATTTCAAGAAGAGAAGAACGTCCTGGGAAACAGCAGTAAATGTCCAGTTAAACATACAAACAAGTATTGTTACAGCAGTAGGTAATTTCCATTCTATATGCGGCAAGAAACCAGAATAACGGAGAATTAATCCACATATAATGACAATTTGAGCATGTAGGAGCTGGAAATTATCATCAGTGAGCAGTGAGATTTCAAACGAAACCATCAGCATGTGCTCATTATTTCTTAAGTAAACGGACTTATTGGGGCCGTACAGATAGTTGTTCGGATTTTTATTGGTATAAAGGTAATATTCTACAACTCTTATTCAGGATGTGTCGTGGATGATGGTAATGGATGATTCACGAGGCAGTTGTAGGATATGGGACGAGTAGTGTTTGCAGATCATTAGTCATTGTAAGTGGTCAAATATCTACATTCTTTACTCTCATTCAGAGGGTCATACAGAAGCTAGAATGATGGCAGAATAAGGAGGACAAACGACAGCAGCACGGAAGAAAGCAAGTGGAGTCCCCAAGGAGTGAATTAATAATTTATATATATTCTATACAGTAACTATGATTACGTTGGTACACTAACTAGTCCTGTTGTGCTAACTTTTATATTATTTGTGAACTAATATTAATGTCCTATGTAGAAATGTTTATGATGTAGTTCCAATAATATTGACATTTATAATTGTAGTTTGTTTTAAACTACACTTTCAATGAGCTTATAATGTATACGTAGGGTGAAAAGAGGGTGTAGGAGTTAGACGTAGGAGAGCTTCGTCATCTTTGAACAGTCTGGTGACTGAGGAGATGAACAAGGGAAGTGTGTTTGCATCGCGGACATTAGCTGGTAGTATATTCCAAATGACTGAAAACCTATTTAAGAAGTTGTACCGCATGTAAGTCTGACAATACCCTATAGCAATTAGGTTGTCATGATTTCCAAGATTGTAACTGATGACAGCGGTAGGTTTAGTTATTGGCTCGGAGGAGTGCAAGAAAAGATTAGTAAGCTCGTAGTAAAAAATCAGGTTTAGATTAAGACGTCTTTTCCAGAGTCTTAGTCTGTCGCAAAGCTCATAGTATTCGAGAACATTTTCTAAACCAAGAGTTCTTGAGGTAAATTCCCACTCCCTCTAATGTAAGCTCGTCACTCTGTCGCAGTCCGCTAAGAATAAACGAGCAGTATTCTAAAATAGGTGGGACACATACTTTGTATGATAAGACACTAGTTTCAAAACAGAAGGAATTGCGAGTTATGCAACTATCCAAGGAGCCTTCAAGTTTTACGTCTGGCATAATCAGTTTGTTCAGAGAACGTTAAGTTACTGGAGTATCTCATACCGAGATCTACAAATGAGTTGAGCTTGGCTAGTTTTCGCCCACTTACTTCAGGAGTTAGGTTAGAGTTATTGTTGCCGATACAAATCCAGCTTCTTTGTCAGCTTTAAACTTTAGACAGGATCCAGCACACCAAGTTGCGAGACCACTTAGTTCAAAACATATTTTAATCATATCGTTTAATTCATGAGTGAAGCAAGAGTAAACGACTATGAGATCGTCAGCATATAGGAATCGTTTACCTGAGGTGAAGCAGCTATGAATGCTGTTAGTGTAGACTGTAAATAGAAGTGATCCTAGGACACTACCTTGCACAACCCCTCTTGTGATCTGCCTAGGTTGAGACAATACAGATCCGACTTTGGTTATTTACACCCTGTTACTTATGAATGACTTTAACCAGTTCAGTAATGGATTGCGAACTCCACAATCAGTACAGCTTCCCAAAGAGAATACTGTGGAACAACATGTCAAATGCCCCAGATATATCGAAGTAGAGAACAACGACTAGCTTACATGCCTTGCAACTACTGGTGATGCAGTTGAAAAAGTCAAAGTGACAAGTAAAGCAGGACCTATTTCTGAAAAATCCGTGTTGAGACCTTGTAATAGGATCTCCGCTAAGTAGAAAATCTGACAAGTGACCTATAATAACCTTCTCCATCATTCGCGAGATAACTGGAGTTATATTTATAAGTCTGTAATGGCGAACGTTTGTCTTATCACCGTATTTGTAGTATGGAATTATAAAGCTAGTTTTCCAATCATTAGGGTAGGTGCCAGTGTCCGCAGATATTGAGAATTTAGAAAGTAATAGGGGAATATCACTTCCATTGTTTTTGAAAATTACCGAAGCAAGGCCATCTGTCCCGTGCAAGTAGGAGGCTTTTAACTCCTAGTTCTATTAGTTGATTGGAGAACACTATGCTCCCGAGGGAGGAGCTAGTAAGGGGTGCAGTTTCACCAGGGGTGTGCGTTTCTGAACTAAAGTTCTCCAACCACTCACTGAAAAGTTCACAGGTGGTGGCATGCTCATTGTAGATTACTTTGTCGTGAAGTAAGTAGGGGATGTCTCTCGTCGACCGCATTCGTGTTGTTAGGTTATATGCTTTGGAGGTACTTTTAAGTGCACTTAACTCTCTTTCGAGGTTCTTTTGAGAGGGTAGGCGCTTGATAGATTCAAGTGACTCGTGGACTTAGTGCAGCAGTGAACAGTACTGTTTCATCATCTTCCTTGACTTATTGCGGCATGCCCTTGGAATGTATTCAGCTTGGTGCCTACTTAATTTCACTATCTTCCTAGGAGAGAGGGAAGGTTGGGCTAGACGCTAGCAACCGCGCCCTGTAAAAAACACCGGTGGTGCAGAAACTTCAAAGACCCCAGTTCTAATAGAATTGTTGGTCAGACAACAATTGTGTTATTCCTACATACATCCAACTGAAGCAATCCGCAATCTTCGCAAGCAGCCTGATTAATCAGTTTCCTGGAACTTATTAACGAAGAAGAATACTGAACTAAATAATACCTAACAGTGAACACAGAAATAAATGATTTAAAAATCATCCAGAAACATAACAGTTGCACAGACTATGGTCAGCAATAACGGAATTGTAGAGAAATGTTGACGAAGCCGTTTCACCAAATTGAGAGCAGGGTTTTCTGCCAAAACAATTATTCGATTTACCGACTGACAACTCACAATATTGTAGAAGGCCAGTGGTGTTTGTGAACTTTTATTTCCACGAGCACAGTGAAAGGCAAATCAAGCAGGGAATACCTATCCAAACAAACGGAGGGGCATTCATTATTCACAAGATGAAGAAATCCTACTGAATCACAGAGATGTGGTCGCCCTCCTACTCTTCTGAATTTCCCAACTACTTAGTACATGCAAGTGGCCATTGCTCACCGTGTTGTGGACGCCCTGCATTATTATTATTATTGTATCCTTTAATTCCTACAGGAACATAGGGCTTCAGCCGTGCGTTTCCATTGCATTTGGTTCTCTGCTAGGGTCTTCACCTGGCTCCATGTCTGCCCACACGTTTTCATCTCCTCTTCACATGACCTCCTCCAAGTCACCCTTGGACTACCAACTCGCCCTGCATAGTCATATTTTGTTGTTGTACCGTGTCGTTGAGTGCAAATGCTGTGTAAATGCTGACTCAATTACCACCAGCGCCAGTTCCCAGCTGAAACAGCTGTGGAAGCAACTAGATGTTAGTTGCTCCCAATTAATATGTAAGGCATCAAAGTCACTCATTTTCAGACACCAATTTTTATTAATGGACTATCGCAAGTGATACAGGACGAAGTAAGACTGGCAAACGGGACTTCTGTGATTGACACCAATCATTAGAGCACACTCATTTTGTTTAATAACGAAACTCACAATGACACACGTGCCATTAACATGCTTTCTGAAGCTGTTAACACATTATTATTATTGTTCCCTTGGGTTCCTAGTGGAACATAGGGCTTCAACTGCACGTCTCCACTTGCTTCTGTCTTCTGCTGTATT